ATCCCCACCCCAAAACTATATATACAAATGCTTGGCAAAAAGAGACAAATGCAGTCACGATATTAGAATCGATCCTGGGGTCTGGCCACAACTCTAGGGACCTAGTTTCTGAGTCAAAGCTTGGAAACAGTTGAGATCCCCACCTCATAACCATACATAAAATTGCTGGGCATGAAAAATCTAATATAGCTTTGCTACAAGGATTGGCCTTGGGGTCTGGCATATTCCCTTGATCTCATTTGGAGAATAGTTTGCCATGATTGCTTAGGTATCCAGGTGAGAGATACAGGCCCTCTGGGCCTCTTGTTTTATATAAATTTCTGTTTATATTGATGTTTACAGAACCCACTATATGGTATTAATAACTTGCTATATTGTAAAAAATAACCTACTGCATGTTAATAAAACAAGTAACTGTGGTAGACATCATACCATATCTCATTCTGTAGTGGGGTATACATCATACCATATCTCATTCTGTAGTGGGATATACATCATACCATATTTGGTTCAAATTATATCCCAAGGGAGGCAACTCTTACAATCCTGTATCCTAATCTTTTGTATAAAGCTCAAAGATTGCAGGTTTTCCTTATTCTATAGATTGTTAAAACTATCTTTAAGTATTATTGTGATGTCAGCATACTTATGTCAGAGCTATGATGATGACTATAGTGTGTATTCTATACAACACAGGACCAGGGGAATACAGTCACACACCACAGGAGACCTACATCACCACCGACATACACAAGTGTTACGCCGCCCAGACTGGATCCTACCAGATCTTCATCCTGTACGCTGACAGTATACCTACATATGCCATGAGGTAATGACGGTCACCAAAACCATTGCGTAACTTGAACTATTGAATCACAAGTTTGCTAAGAACTGATCACTGGGGCTAGAAAATCTCTGGGTCACCAGGACTGTCAAATCGGAACATCACTAGAATTGTCAAGGCTACTAAGGCTTATCAGTTTCAGCATCACTAGAACTACCAAAGCTCCTGGTTACTAGGACTGTGGAGTCTCAAGGGCATAAGAGCTTTTAAGTTTCAAGGTCAGTTGGACTGTGTCCATTCACGTGTCTATATATCTGTCAATCATGTCTCACAAAGCAGTATTTGTATTAAAGAGTGGAGTCTTGTAGAGTTGTCATTGCAACAAAAGTCCTCTGAAATGTTACATTATTCAGGCAATAGATCAGGACATTACAAACACGTGGGCTATTTCTGTATATCTGTTTTTAAGAATTTCAAAGTGATACTTATGTGGGTGATGTCATTAAATAAAGTTATAGTCTTTTCCCACCTTTTATGGATATAATAGGCAAAAATATTTTAGAGATAAAAGCAGAAGTGTTCGTAAATTTGCTTCAATCAATTTAAGTAAGATATGCATTTTAATTGTAGATAATCCTGATTAAGTGAAATATAATCTGTATTTCAGGTCAATCACACAAAAGACCCTCGATCTGCTAACAAAAGACAGGCATGTGTGTATATGAGGACAGCCTGCCACTTACTGATGTACAGTTTTACCTAGGAGCCCTCGGTATCGGCATGTGACCATGCACTTACTGATGTACAGTTTTACCTAGGAGCCCTCGGTATCAGCGTGTGACCACTTACTGATGTACAGTTTTACCTAGGAGCTCTTGGTATCGGCGTGTGACCACTTACTGATGTACAGTTTTACCTAGGAGCCCTCGGTATTGGCGTGTGACCACTCACTGATGTACAGTTTTACCTAGGAGCCCTCGGTATCGGCATGTGACCACTTACTGATGTACAGTTTTACCTAGGAGCTCTCGGTATCGGCATGTGATGATGTAACGGGACATACGTGGTTAAATGATGTCACTAAAGTAATGATCATGTACCACTGATCTAAATCAAGGAAGTTATTTTCGCTGAAATTTGTGGTAGAGTGGTAGAAAATCGAGGTTTCCTCACTTTTGAGGTAAAATAATCTCATTAGTCCAGATGATTATTCAGGTGGCAGGGATAGAGGCAAAGTGAATGAAAGTCATGTCACATGGACAGTAACAAGTTCAGAGGTCAGATGACAAAGTCACAGACAATTGTAATGTCATAGGAAAGGTGAAAGTCACATGTTAAGGTCACAGATGGAGACAGAGATGGTGATAAAGACACGGAGAAGGTCACGAAGGTCACACAGATGAAGACACACACTCGAGGATAGTGGTGCTTTCCACATTAATTTACTGGTCACCAATCACATTTCAATATCATTGCTAGATACTATGTGTTTGTTGAAAGGGATAAGATACATTAAGCAGGAGTGGTAGGTAACATGTTTGGTAGGTAACATGTTTGGTAGGCTACACATTAACTGTTCTTGTTTGTAGCCCTGACCAATTAAATATTACTCTGAAAGTCTAAGTGTATTTCAGTTGATGTTAGCATTCTCACTAAATATGTCTTAAGATGGATTGTGTCAATAGCTTGTCCATCAGTCTTTTCTGTCTGTGAGTAAATGTCTAAGAGTGTGAGGAGATGCATCGACTATGGTTTATATATATGTACATCTTTGATAAAGAAACTGTAAATTTCTGATCAAATTGTAAATGTATCTATCCTCAATAAAGCAAAAAAACTTGGCTTTTTGTTTGTTTGACACACAGTAGATTTTAAGTTTTGTTACATGAAATCCACTGGTTAATTGAATGTTTTGTAGATTGTTATACTGTTCATGCCAGAGGTTTGTGTTAGAATATAGAAATGAAGCATTAATGTTTGACAGCATTTGTTATGTAACACCTCATAATAAATACCTGATAGTATTTATTGGTTGTCTTTTTTTCTTTAAACGGAGAACAGATACAGGTGGAGAATGTTGTTTGACAGAAGATTTTGAATGATATTTTTTTTTGTGTAGAGTCGATCAGTAAGTTTAGCCAAAGTTTCCCTTTGTGATGTTCATCCTACACACAGGTGCTTCACTGTAGTGCTGGATAAGTAACAGTACCCGATGTGATGTTCATCCTACACACACGTGCTTCACTGTAATGCTGTATAAGTTACAGTACCCTATGTGATGTTGATCCTACATAGAGGTGCTTTACTGTAGTGCTGTATAGGTTACAGTACCCTATGTGATATTGATCCTACATAGAGGTGCTTTACTGTAGTGCTGTATAGGTTACAGTACCCAATGTGATGTTCATCCTACACACAGGTGCTTCACTGTAGTGCTGTATACGTTACAGTACCCTATGTGATGTTCATCCTACACAGGTGCTTCACTGTAGTACTGTATACGTTACAGTACCCTATGTGATGTTGATCCTACACAGGTGCTTCACTGTAGCATTGTATACGTTACAGTACCCTATGTGATGTTCATCCTACACACAAGTGCTTCACTGTAGTGCTGTGTATACGTTACAGTACACTATGTGATGTTGATCCTACACACAGGTGCTTCACTGTAGTGCTTTATACGTTACAGTACCCTATGTGATGTTCATCCTACATAAAGGTGCTTCACTGTAGTGCTGTATAAGTTACAGTACCCTATGTGATGTTGATCCTACACACAGGTGCTTCACTGTAGTGCTGTGTATACGTTACAGTACCCTATGTGATGTTGATCCTACACACAGGTGCTTCACTGTAGTGCTGTATACGTTACAGTACCCTATGTGATGTTAATCCTACATAGAGGTGCTTCACTGTAGCATTGTATCCGTAACCGTACCCTATGTGATGTTCATACTACATAAAGGTGCTTCACTTTAGTGCTGTGTATACGTTACAGTACTCTATGTGTTGTTGATCCTACACACAGGTGCTTCACTGTAGTGCTGTGTATACGTTACAGTACTCTATGTGATGTTGATCCTACACACAGGAGCTTCACTGTAATGCTGTATAAGGTACAGTACCCTATGTGATGTTCATCCTACATAAAGGTGCTTCACTGTAGTGCTGTGTATACGTTACAGTACCCTATGTGATGTTCATCCTACACAGGTGCTTCACTGTAGCATTGTATACGTTACAGTACCCTATGTGATGTTCATCCTACATAAAGGTGCTTCACTGTAGTGCTGTGTATACGTTGCAGTACCCTATGTGATGTTCATCCTACACAGGTGCTTCACTGTAGCATTGTATACGTTACACTACCCTATGTGATGTTCATCCTACATAAAGGTGCTTCACTGTAGTGCTGTGTATACGTTACAGTCCCCTATGTGATGTTCATCCTACACAGGTGCTTCACTGTAGTACTGTATACGTTACAGTACCCTATGTGATGTTGATCCTACACAGGTGCTTCACTGTAGCATTGTATACGTTACAGTCCCCTAGCTGATGTTCACCCTACATAAAGGTGCTTCACTGTAGTGCTGTATAAATTACAGTACCCTATGTGATGTTTATCCTACATAAAGGTGCTTCACTGTAGTGCTGTATAAGTTACAGTACTCTATGTGATGTTTATCCTACACACAGGTGCAACTTGTGTCTACACAGATCCAATGCGATTTGTATTTACCTCTGCCACTGCTTCTACACCAAACAAATATCTTGCAATATGCATCACTTTCAGTATTTGCTTCTCCCTTACAGCTTTTTATCCTGTCTACTTCTATAGTTCATCATGTTCATTGTTACCAAAGTCATTTAATAAAATCATTGTCTTTCTTCCACTGAAGATCCACTTCAGTTTCTGAATAAAATATCAACTTGGTATATTTGCTGCAAGATTGTGCAATGCAACAGACACATGACCCTGAAAGAATCAAGGATTTCACTCTACATCCTCTGCTTCCGAGAACATGGAAGAAACCTTTATTGTACTTTTATGACCATGGGTCCTCAGGGACGAGAACGGACCCCCGAGCTAGTCCTGGTAGCATGAGTGTGTTTGCTTTTCGTGACTAGCAATTGGTTTTGTGGTTAAAGTGAGAGGATCATAACTCTTTAGTGCATTGTTAATGTTACGACTGCTGAAATCTACATGCAATGCTTCTGTTGTCTAGTAACAAAAGCAGGTTTCTCTGGGAATCTTAAAATAACATTGTCCATACTATCAACATAGACCTTTATACGGTGTACAGGGTTCTTGTCATGGTATAAATGGGCGAGTAAATCTGAATTCAATTAGACACCAATTATCTGTAGTCAACTATCACTTCAGACCTAACATTCTAGAAACCACTCACTGAGGATAGATACAAGTATACCACACTGTCATGTCAGGATGTATACAGCAGGGTCTTTACACATGTAAATCAGTTTCATGCGAGATCTGAAAATGAAGCTACAGGTTTTCATTTTAAGTAGAGCTAAAGCCATAACTCTGGCACAAAGTTCAATATTGATCTTTGTTCACGTAACTAAGAATTTACATTGATCTTCTGCAAATAAAGTGTTCTTTAACCACTGTCAAATTTTCAATGACACCATCTTACAGTCCATGATGGTTTCTCCATTTTCCTATGGTGACAGTTCTTAGTGACTAAAGTCAGTTTCCAGTACTGGATCTCTATAGGTCCTCCTCTCCACTGGACTTGATCGTTGTATCACACTGAAGTCCGCTTTCAATCAGTCCTCTAAAGTTATATAATATTTCCTGATTTTTCCAGCATTTATCTAGTCCATTCTTAAAAGAATTTAAGGACCGTGTGTTTACCACCTCTGTTGGTAAATTATTCTAAATATTCACCATTCTGACTGTAAAATAGTCCTTCCTTTTAGATGTTAAAGCTTGTGGGTATATCTTAAATGGGTGGCCTCTGGTGCCGATTCTTTCCGTCACATTGTTCCACATTTTGATAAACGTACATGAATCGCTGTTGTGTATTCCCTGTATTATCTTCAATGTTTGCGATCATATCAGCGCGGTGTTGTCTCTACGCAGGTAATTTCAGCTTTTTTCAGATCATGTTACAAAATTATATGTATAAAAACTTTTTTAAATTATATGTATAAAAACTTTTTTTTTAATTCTACAATTAATTTAACCTAGAACATTTGGTGTCAAACAACAAAATAAAAAACAAAACTAAAGTGGTTTCAATAGAATTGTATTGGTAGATTTATTACATTATACATACAGCAGTTGTTGCTATGTACGAGTATTCAGTTAAGAGCACACGGATGACTGCAGAAGATATATGGCCATACATCACATGATATTCCAGTATATTCATAGGCATACACCACGATATATCACAAGATATAACTTGATATACGACTTGCACCAGAAGATATTCTGCCATAGCCACACATTGTAAGATATTCTGATATAAATGGCCATACATCAGAAAATATTCTGATATATACGGCCATACATCAGAAAATATTCTGATATATACGGCCATACATCAGAAAATATTCTGATATATACGGCCATATGATCAGACATCAAGATACAATATTAACTGCAATGTCCGATACACAATTGTACCTAGCAGCTTTGATGTACTACATGGCCAGTGAAGCTGTGACATATACACATTTACTGACCAGTTCATGCTATAATGTGAAGGAAGCGGACTGGAATAGACACACAGGAACTGAGACACCACTGCAAGTATTAACATTATTACTTAATTATAGGTTTGGACGAAAATGACAAGATATTTATAATGACACGAAGTGATTGTACCGACTGAAGTATCAACATGTCTTTTTCTCTTCTTTCTCCACCTTCCTTCCACGACTCTCACTTGCTATTTTGCTGTCTCTCCCTCACAAACTCATGATGCATCCATGTTGTACTACAATCCAATATCACATAAAGCTGGAGCCAAGGGGCAATGGGGTTTTTTCTTTTTTCTTTTTTTCTTTTTCACGATTGTATTTTACATACCAGGTATACAAAACCACATTCTCACACACTCACATCCACACATTCATAATAACACTTAGTCATCATCCTCATCCTTCACCTGATTTCATCATCATCATCATCATTATCATCATCACATTCTCATCAGATGAACACAGGTGCTTACATATTTTAATGACATATTTACAACAAAATATCGTAGTTTCTTAACTATCACATCCATCCATCAACATAGAAACACCTCCATGTATAATAAAGATAACTTGCTTACTTTTTGAATTGTTGTGAGAGAGAGAGAGAGAGAGAGAGAGAGAGAGAGAGAGAGAGAGAGAGAGAGAGAGAGAGAGAGAGAGAGAGAGAGAGAGAGAGAGAGAGAGAGAGAGAGAGAGAGAGAGAGAGAGAGAGAGAGAGAGAGAGAGAGAGAGAGAGAGAGAGAGAGAGAGAGAGAGAGAGAGAGAGAGAGAGAGAGAGAGAGAGAGAGAGAGAGAGAGAGAGAGAGAGAGAGAGAGAGAGAGAGAGAGAGAGAGAGAGAGAGAGAGAGAGAGAGAGAGAGAGAGAGAGAGAGAGAGAGAGAGAGAGAGAGAGAGAGAGAGAGAGAGAGAGAGAGAGAAAGGGGGGGGGAGGATTTGGGAGATATTGTTTCATGTGCATCACTTATGAAATAGCCAATGCAACGAGCTAATAAGGCTATGTCAAAGTCTTGCCGATAATATCAACTAAAATTCTAATAAAGGTTTCCATTTCCTCCTGTTAAGGTTGAATTCTCTTTGCATGATGAGGACATTTTTACTGTTATTTTTATGCTTTTGAACAAGGAAGTTATCTTTGATGACTTTAATAAGTGTATAAATGCAATTTTTAACCATATCTATATTTTCAGGGTCATGTTACCAATTCATCGGATACCCATCTCTTTACTTCCAGAGCCCTGGGGCAATGTTACCAATACACTTGGTACTCTTCCCGTTTGTCGACTTACAGACATGTTAAACGGTACAATAATATGACATAAGACATAAACTTTAACAGAAGCCATGCTGGTCACCTTTTTCTGACTTTTTTACATTTCATCAGCATTTCGTTCTACAGGAAAAGCTTGATGGAAAGGAAAGATTGAAGACACAGAAGGAAATAAGTAGAAAGTTCACCAGAAAATAAATCATTACTATAATGCTGATAAACATGACATAACATTGTGGACATAATAGATTACAAAGCAAGCATGGAGACAGGGTTAAAATGCCTGTACAACACTTCACGATATCTATAGGGTGGAGATACAGGATTAAGTAATGCCCATACAACTGGACCGAGGACAACATCCCGAGGATAAGTAGCATTCTGTAATTACATTTGAACATTAGTACAGTGTATAATATCAAAGAATATTTTCAAACAAAATGGTTACAAAGGCTTATGGTAATATTGCATGTACATAGCTATGGCATACATTTACCATACACAAAATTAGGTAACAGAAATTACTATCATGATATTTGCAGTGTAGGAAGCCACAGTGTTTAAAATTGATTAATATGTTCTTTTATGTTGGAAGTGATAACATGATCATGTGTGCGTATATATTAGCCAATGAAATAGCTACTTAACCAGGCTTGACGTTTTGAATGTCTGATGGTGATGGACATACTTGTTACACAAACTAATTATGGTTCACCTGCACATCACCCGGTAGGTGTCACATGACTCTGGTTCATCCACAATCCTGCGAAAACGACAAACTAAATACCAAGAATTTATAGGTATGATTGTCTGACTGCTGGTGGAACCTAACATAAAATAACAAACCCAGATCAGCACAGAGGCTGACCCCTCGAATATATTTCAGTACATGTGGAGCTCTGCCAACAACACAGGCCCACTCCTGGTCCAATTGTATCCATATATCACAGTATAAATTATTTCTGTGCTACCTCCGCCTTTCCACTGGATACATCAGCCTAAGTCTTACATATCAAACAGTAGCACTTAAGATTATCACAACAGAATGATCCTCCAAACCTGTTATTTGAAAGCTAAAATAAGAGGACCATTACAGTTGTTTACCTGTTTGATGGCAGCACTTTAAATACTCAGGTGTTTATCTCCGCCTTAAGCACCATCTTGGTTAAGTCAATAGTATCAACAACACTAGATACACCTTGCAAACTTGTTACAAGTCACTTTACCAGCGCTCCCCTAATTTGGGACCCCTGTGTACAATTCATTTCCTTAGTTAGGGACCTAGGTGTACCATACATTGTTACAAGTCACTTTACCAGCGCTCCCCTAATTAGGGACCCCAGTGTACAATTCATTTCCTTAGTTAGGACCTAGGTGTATCATACCTTGCCCCATTTAGGGCCCTCAGCGTATTACAAATGCAGTGCTCCAGTTAAGCTGTGTTCTACCACAATTTACTTCGGTTTCATGGATTATGTATTGCAGTGAAAAAGTTTGCATACAAATGATGCATTAAATATTAGTATGGTGCATACATGATACACTGCACACAACTACAAGAATCCTTTGACTGAATTCATCAGAAATGCATGTGGTAGCTCAGTCACTTTCTTCTGGAGGCAAATCCATTTATCCAAATATGTCATCATAATTGAACTAGGGCTTCACCATAAAATTACCATCACCAGTGACATTTCAAGTTATTATTAAAATTATTAAACAAAAACATTAATCTGTAGACCAGTGGCAAAAACGAAAGGAAAAACTTTACTCCTGGGTCAAACACTGGGGCCCCACATCGTATAACCTCCCTCACGACTCCCTTATTTATGGACTGCATAAGCTACACTGAATGAATGCTTTATCTTGGGACTTCAATGACACTGAAGCTACACTGAATGAATGCCTTATCTTGGGACTTCAATGACACTGAAACTTTATGCACACAAACTAGCAAATGGAGGTTACAAAACATCTGTCAAAGTTGTGTGATTAATGTCTAGAATACCGTAATTCTCCAGAGCCTCCCAGTGACACCTGACTAGTCTGGGACTAGTCCAACTGAAGAGAACCATAGGAATCGTCGATCAAAGTTTTACATATCACTCGGGAACTGTATACTGGCCAACCCAGATGAATAATCATTATGTTTTGAATTTTGTTGTGACAATTAAATCATTAACAATAAACTGATGTTGTGAAAAAATAGCCATGGAGAGGTAACCACGGTCATATTGAACAAAGTGTCTTCCCCAACAAATTCCACCTGTTATAGCAAGAACATGTGAACTCCGGTTGTATAATAGTTGCTGGGGCGAAAGTATTGTGACACGCAGAAGCAGTACAGACGGTATCCAATAAGTTAACAAGCACACAAGGGCCAGGTGAGAGCTAAAAACAGCCTTTCACATCAAGATAGAACAAGCTTACAGTATATTGAAAAGTTGCAGTTAAAATTGAAGTGCAACTGCTTTCATTACATGGGCAGTGTTTTTATATACAACATCGCAGTTGAATACATCATAAGTACATGTAAAAGGACAGTATTTGTACATTTCATTTCATAAAATGTAAACATATGGACATGTTACCTATATAGTTTGTATATACAGATTTCAACATCACCTGTGCAGACATAGAATGCTAGTGTCTAGTTCATTTCTAGACACCTTTAAATGTAAACAAGTGTATTATCACCTGTACAGACATGGTTAACTGTGTCCAACACTGGCAACAGGCATTTCAGTTGCCTTACACAAGCTGGAGTAAAGCGAGACAAAAATAGAAAAAAAAATCAAACTTTTCCATAAATTAAAGTCAGTTTATCAATAACAACATTGATGCATAAGTCACTTATCACATTGAGGGCAGCATTTTAGTCTTCAAGAACCAAGTACCTGCACTTGGTGTAGAGTTATCTGTCCCTTGTTGCAATTCTTCATCCTTGGTTCCCACTAATTTATCATAAGAGTTACTTCTCCTTGTGGAGATGCCCTCTTTGGAATTCAAAGCATTTGGCAACACTGGGCAGTTGCTGTAAAGTTGTAACATAGATACCACTGTTAACTCAGCTGTTGGCTAATCGCTTGATACGTTCAAGCCTCATTTTGAGTTCGCAGATGTCTGCAGAGGTCATGGAAGATGGTGGATCATCTGATGTGGGTGCAGCATCACCTGTCTGTAAGTAAAGTTCATCGTAGTAAATTGATATTTTCAAATCGATGTGACATTTCATTTTAATGTCTTTGTTCTGTCTCTTTACTTATTTCAAGAAGCTAGGATATTATGGTAGGCAGGCATGCCCCCATGCAACTGAACCAAATACTTCACTTATATATTATTGCTTTTGAGGCAGGGAAAACCTGGAGAAATTTTAGCAAAAAGAAAAAAAATAGTGATGCAAACTTGATTACTGTCCTTACATATATACAAATATATATATTGAATCAATTATTCTCAGAAGAAGAAGAATAAATGTGACATTACCATGTCTGTATCTGTATCTTGTGAGGGAATGGCCTCAACTTCAGGCTCAGGTTTGGAAGGGTTTGTGTTGTTTGGCTGCAAATACAGTATGTTTTCATCGTTATCAAATGTATTAGCCATCATATTCAACAATAAAACAGGTGTTGATGAGTGAATTAATCACATTATATTATCTCTAGTAAATATTTTGAAGAAAAATGAACCAGTAATAATACACAAGCTATATCATGCAGATACATAATAATACTTCCAGTTATAGCAACAAAGGATAAATATGACAACAGGGCCCATATTCATGAAATTGTTCTCATGGACATTGTGCTCAAGCCGAATTTCTTGTTCTCGTTATAAATTAATCAAAAAATATTATTTCGTCAATGATTTCTAAAATCATTGAAGGAATAGGTTGAAAACGGTTTTCAATATTTTCATTTGACTTTTTGATCGTTTGACATGATTTAAGCGAGTTCCAAGAAAGTTGGTTTGAGCACAGAATCCATGCTTGAGCATGAGAACGGTTTCATGAATACGGGCCCTGGTCTCTTGGTTAATCTGAAGTTGCCTAAAACTTTCAACACAATAGACCTGTGTCCTTAAGAGAAGGTCAATGTAATTCATTTGAACATATAGGATGCTGTAGGTCAATTATCATGATCCCAAAGCTCTTGGCTATTCTGAAGTTTGCTAAAAGCTGCGGAAAAAAGTTTTATGCTGCATGGACGCCATACGCCACATCAGGGCATAAGTTCACCTGCCCGTTTCAAAAACAAATATCTGGCACACAGACAGTGACAAACCATATATTACCTCCTCAATATTGTACAGGCCACACCTGGCACGTAGTACCCGTAGTCTCTGTAGGTAAACATTGGGCTCCTCTGTTGATTCACTGGTAGAAGGATTACTAATTACCTGGATATCTGACTTTGTATACCCTGTACAAAAAAAATGCTTGATAAATTTGTGGTTACATTGATCATATTCTTAATTTTCATTTTAAACTGAAGTCCCAACTTAGGAATACCTGTTTGAAATGTGGGGTGTTTCCCCTCCCTCTCCTGTTAAGCCCCCTCTCTAGTGTTACCTGTATCAGATGTGGGGTGATTCCCCTCCCTCACCTGTTAAACCCCCTCTCTAGTGTTACCTGTATCAGGTGTGGGGTGTTTCCCCTCCCTCTCCTGTTAAACCCCCTCTCTAGTGGTACCTGTATCAGATGTGGGGTGTTTCCCCTCCCTCTCTTGTTAAGCCCCCTTTCTAGTGTTACCTGTATCAGATGTTGGGTGTTTCCCCTCCCTCTCCTGTTCTATACTGTTCAGTCCTCTTTCTATATACATCTGGAAGAACTGGGAGGATTTCTTGAGAAATGGTTCCAGGTCAGCATCTGGGTATTTCTTTTTAAAGTCATACAGATCATTCAGGCCCTGTGAAATCAAACAAGCACATCTGAATTAACTCTTTTTTAGAGAGAATTAAGAACCTTAATATTACATAATTATCTTTCTTGACAGTTGGAGACTTTTGATCCAGAAGTTATCTCTTGAAATTGTGAGTCAAATTTTGAACTGTTAATTAAGTTATACTTCTGCAAATCGGTCTAAATTAAGTGAAGTGAGACATGTTTTTAGTAATGACATGTATGTGAGTGTAAAATGACATTTGATATTAAGTTAATGAAAAATTGCATCATGATCCGAGGTATGGAGCAGACGTGTGTTGTGCATATAAAGGATGATACTGGTGTCTTGATAAATACTAGTCATGTTTCACCAAATTGGCACCAAAACTTTAGGTGAAGCACAAATAAATATACAGTAAAACCCCACCTCCTCGAACTCGGTTTACTCGAATACCCCTCATATATATATGTTGAACAAGTTTGTGCATATTCTTGTAAAGTAACCCTGGATTAGTCCAACGGTTATTCCTCCAATACCCTGTATTCCTCGAACAAAAAGTTTGTCCTCGACCCTTCATGGTCATAGTTTTAATCTTATCTATTCGTCAAGCAGGTGTGACCTGTCACGCCCGACAGACATTTTACCTGCTTATCACAGGTACCGGCACTGCCGTCGACATGTCTCGAGGCACAGGCTGCGGTCCACGTTCATAGTGTTTATACAGGTGTCGGCTGAACGTCGGTTAATTAGAGGATTAACGGCAGTATCATTAAGTAATGGTACCATTACCCTGTTGTAGCTGCATTATCATTTTGTGTGCATATTTATTTTTTCCAGACGATATTTTGACATCAATGATTTGGCGGAAGTGTTAATTTACTTGGTGCTTAAACTATATTTCGGCATGGCAATATTAGGTGGAAATCACATTACGAAATCCTACCAACACTAAATATATTCAAACTTGAATACGTCGTGATTGTTAATTTTGTTATCAATCAACATTATGATAACAAGGAAGATTTTCTTCATTTCAAAATGAATCGAAGAGTTCCTCTCGTTTTGATATTTTGTAAAATTAACGTAGCCGATTACAGTATGGCAGATGATGTCAAAACTACAAGTATGTTATACATGCAGCTTTTTAATTTAATTTTATTTCTTAATACCGGTGGGTATGTTTTCATTGTTAGCTATTTTTAATCTTATTAAATGCTGTCATCTTGATTAAACTTCTTTTTTCTTCTATCATCTACTATCCAGGATAGTTGCAGTACTCGTACTGCCTGATGTCCAACCTGATAAAAAAAAATGATGATTTCGGTCGAACCTCGGATGCATCGAATACCATGTATTCCTCGAACTATTGATCTGGACCCTATGAGTTCAAGTAAACAGGGTTTTACTGTATTATTAAATTTTCAACTGGCACAATAATAGTCGATGGTGCATCATTACATTGGACAATCTGATTAGGATAAAAGTTTACATTTAAATACCAACCTTATAACCAACCAGTAACTGAATCAACTAATAGATGTCTTGACTTGCTGTATTGAGAATTTACCTCTTTGGTGTTCTCCTTTGAGCCGATCTTTTTGAAGATAACCGCTAACATGTCGTGTGTACTCTTGGTCAGTCTCTTCGCTTTCTGGGCACTCTGAAAGACAAACAAACATTTTTGTCAGTGAGTTTACACCGATATTTGAGGGGATTAATAATTTGTGGATGACCCAAAAAATACATCAGCTCATTGCTTTTGTACCTTGTTAACTAAATATACAGCAAGGGAGAAAATAACCTTGTTATCTAAATATACAGCAAGGGAGAAAATAAATGTGTTTCTTGTATGTAAGACTATGAATCCAAGTAATTGGATTAACTTCTAAACAGTGTTGTAAATACCTACCCCTCTCTGAGCCCTTGAATCCTCCTCCTCCATGCCTCCATTTTGAGCTCCTGTGACCTTCAGGATTTTGTTGAGGTAGGATCGCACTTCTGAATTACCATCAATCATCGTCATGTGGTTTAGAATCTGTATAACACAAGTCAAAGGTTTAAATATCGCCTGTGTTAGAGACAAGGACAAACCTATAACTTAGGTACTCGCCTGTATTAGAGGCAAGAACAAACCTATACCTTAGGTACTCGCCTGTGTTAGAGACAAGAACAAACCTATAACTTAGGTACTCGCCTGTATTAGAGACAAGGACAAACCTATACCTTAGGTACTCGCCTGTATTAGAGACAAGAACAAACCTATACCTAACGCCTGTGTTAGAGGCAAGGACAAACCTATAACTTAGGTACTCGCCTGTATTAGAGGCAAGAACAAACCTATAACTTAGGTACTCGCCTGTATTAGAGACAAGGACAAACCTATACCTTAGGTACTCGCCTGTATTAGAGGCAAGAACAAACCTATATCTTAGGTACTCGCCTGTGTTAGAGACAAGAACAAACCTATACCTTAGGTACTCGCCTGTATTAGAGACAAGAACAAACCTATAACTTAGGTACTCGCCTGTGTTAGAGACAAAGACAAACCTATAACTTAGGTACTCGCCTGTGTTAGAGACAAGAACAAACCTATACCTTAGGTACCCGCCTGTGTTAGAGACAAAGACAAACCTATACCTTAGGTACTCGCCTGTGTTAGAGACAAGAACAAACCTATCCCTTAGGTACTCGCCTGTGTTAGAGACAAGGACAAACCTATAACTTAGGTACTCGCCTGTGTTAGAGACAAGAACAACCCTATAACTTAGGTACTCGCCTGTGTTAGAGACAAGAACAACCCTATACCTTAGGTACTCGCCTGTATTAGAGGCAAGAACAAACCTATAACTAGGTACATCAAAATTCAGGTGAATTGTTTTCCTTTTATTTCTGTTTCCTCTACCCCTATTTTCAACAACCCCCATTTATTCCCACCAACCCAGAGCGAAATTTCATTTCCTTCAGCAAGAAACAGAGAACCATTACATTCACTCTATATTTATATTTCAATCCAATAAACAGTTTGTCTATGGAATACTTGGACAACTATCAACAACAGTATTTTTACAGAATGTGATAGGAAATACAGACTTGGCCTAAGGATTATGTAAACCAGAGAAGCTATTATCTCCTCTTGGTAACAGTGGGACTTACGGCAGCTCCCTGCAGTTTACTAATGGAATGAAGGATCGTTCTCATTGTCCGTATTGGTAAGTCGTTGGGCCGTGACTTCCACGTAGAGCCAGGAAAAGCAGTCATGAATACATGTATATCCAGTAAGATACTGTCTAAGTTGATGTCATTGATGATCTCAGGTAACATCCGTACGATCTTCCACAAACACTACAATAAACCAATTCATAACTTTGACATTTATGTAATTTGACATGATTGTTTATAAAAGGTAACGTCACTTCCACATTTTATTCACAAAAGCATTGTTTTAAATTGGTGATACTATAACTTTAGGAGGCACGGTAGTCTAGTGGTGGGATGCCAGGCTCGTAAGCGAAGGGTTGATGTTGCAATAATTCCAGTTATATAACATTTTAAGAAAAAAAGAACACAATGAAATACCAAGGAAACCATTCGTTTCAGGGAAAAGAGCGGGAAACACAATTTCAGAAAGCAGAGCTGCGTTACAATTTCAGCAAGCAGAGCTTCGTTAGAAAGTTAATCAAAATATTTATATTAATTTTGTACCTACAAAATACATGCAATATTGTATTTTTCACATACATCTGACTAGTTAAGTATTGCAGTGAATGCTTTCTCTACCTACTTGTTGACTTATAAACCACAAAATAGTGTCACTATTTTGTGAATGAATTGTTATCAGAAACCGATAGAAATAATGAATAAGTTTCCGTATAAGGAGATATCAGCTTCCATATAAGGGCAGAGAGACCGGAAAAGGACACGCATGTGTCAAGAACCTTCATATGAGTCTTCACTTTTTCTGGTCAAAGCAAAAATCTTCATGCAAGTCTGACTTATTCTTCATCTTTCAATCGAACAAGTCTTTTGAACCCAGAAAATGTATTCAGTGGTTTACTAGGATCCAAGGAGAAAATGTATTCAGTGGTTTACTAGGATCCAAGGAGAAAATGTGTTCAATGGTTTACTAGGATCAAAGGAGAAAAAAATGTATTCAATGGTTTTCTAGGATCCAAGGAGAAAATGTATTCAATGGTTTACTAGGATCCAAGGAGAAAATGTATTCAGTGATTTACTAGGTTCAAAGGAGAAAATGTATTCAATGGTTTACTAGGATCCAAGGAGAAAATGTATTCAGTGGTTTACTAGGATCCAAGGAGAAAATGTATTCAATGGTTTACTAGGATCGGATACCACAAGTTATTGTACCTTCATGATTAATTCCAGAAATTTCCCAGAACATATCTCACTGGCAACACAGTCCTGTAGCAGTCTGATCAAGGCACTGAAACACAAAACGATCACGTTAAATATCTCTCAAGCAAACCCGTCCTGTAGCTATCTGATAATATCAAAATCTCAATGATTATGGCAATGAAATACAAATCAATAAACATTAAAATCTCAATGACAATAAGAAAAAAGATTTTTTAAAGATTTTTCCATGAAATTGACACATGAATTAATACACATTCTTGTTTGATATCAAAGGCTGAAATAATTATCAAATACCATAAGAGTAACTTATACATTGTACCTCATAATGGAGGTTTGGTCTGCCTTCTCCACAATCTTCACTACCATGACGTTAACTGACCGCACAACCTGTGCACCCTCCTCTAACTCAACTAGTCGATTGTCTAGGAGGATGGTGACCAGGTTATTTATCAGATCCTTCAGAACGTCCTTGGAGGCCTTGGAAGACAGACTTGGCTTTTGGAACAACTGTGACAAAATAGAATAACAGTTATGACAAAAGAAGATCAATAATTGTGAATGAAAAGATTAAACAGATGTTTAAGGCAAAGTGTTGCAAGGCAATCCATAGTCCCCCACCAGTATGATTTCTATATTTAACAAACAGTAGACTTACGTCTAATTTTTTCAGAAGTAAGGTCATAGGTGAAGTTATAGGTCACAGTGCACTCTGCACTCCGCCATCCCAAGATGTCCTTGTACACTACTTCTGGTTATTCCAGGTGAAATAAATATAGGAGATATGCCCCGGACAATCCTTTTCAATAGTTTAGGTCAAAGTAGAGTGAGGTAAGGTCATAGTGACCTTCTTCTTGCACACTGTCATCCTTAAATGTCCTTGTACACCAAATCTGGTTGCTCAAGGTGAAATGGTATAGAAGATATGCCTTGGAAAGAGTGCAGACCTATAGTCCCCCCGGGAAACCGGTGGAGGACTAAAAATATAGTGAAGGTGCGACAAAAGATTCGACTGCTGGTCCTTAAGTACCTCCTGCTGAGCCAGATGGGAGATATCTGATCCTAAGGTACCTCCTGCTGAGCCAGATGGGAGATATCTGATCCTAAGGACCTTGTCTATGGGTGTAAACATGTAATTACTGCAAGGAGTGTCCCCAACAGATACCTACTTGTACTTACTGTGAGGAGGGTCCCCAACAGACACCTGTAGAAACGTATGACATTGTCTTTGGGTGTGATCTTGTACTTACTGTGAGGAGGGTCCCCAACAGACACCTGTAGAGACGTATGACATTGTCTTTGGGTGTGGTCTTGTACTTACTGCGAGGAGGGTCCCCAACAGACACCTGTAGAGACGTATGACATTGTCTTTGGGTGTTGACTTGCTTCCCATGTGTGTAGAGTACACCATCTTGAGCTGCATAGACATAGACAGGAGCAGCTGGTCAACGTGGTTAACCATCACCTCAGCTCGACCCTCCTCCTTTAGCACCTCATCTATCTGTAAACATTCCCAACATCAAACACATTCATGTTTAGCACCTGTTAACTTCACATCACACTTTGTACCTATAGCAAGCTGTGTGCCTCCTACAATAATCCAAATACCAGTGACCCCTACATTAACCCACATATCTGTGACCCCTTCCATCACCCAAATACCAGTGACCCCTACAATAATCCACATATCTGTGACCCTTACCATCACCCAAATACCAGTGACCCCTACAATATCCCACATATCTGTGACCCCTCCAAAAACCCACATACCCGTGACCCCTAAAATAACCCACATACCTGTGACCCCTACCATCACTCAAATACCAGTGACCCCTACATTAACCCAAATATCTGTGACCCCTACCATCACCCAAATACCAGTGACCCCTACATTAACCCACATATCTGTGACCCCGACCATCACCCAAATATCAGTGACCCCTTCAATAATCCACATATCTGTGACCCCTACCATCACCCAAATACCAGTGACCCCTACATTAACCCACATATCTGTGACCCCTCCAAAAACCCACATACCTGTGACCCCTAAAATAACCCACATACCTGTGACCCCTACCATCACCCAAATACCAGTGACCCCTACATTAATCCACATATCTGTGACCCCTACCATGACCCAAATATCAGTGACCCCTACAATAATCCACATACCTGTGACCCCTACCATCACCCAAATACCAGTGACCCCTACATTAACCCACATATCTGTGACCCCTACCATCACCCAAATACCAGTGACCCCTATCTGTGACCTTTCACTGATCCATATATTTGTGACAATAACCAACATACATGTGACCCTACATTAACCCAAATAAATGTGACTCTTACGACCCTACATTAACCCAAATAAATGTGACTCCTAAAATAACCCACATACCTGTGACCCCTTCCATAACACACATACCTTTGACCTCTACAATAACCCACATATATGTGACCCCTCCAAAACCCCACATACCTGTGACCCCTTCCATATCACACATACCTATGACCTCTACAATAACCCACATATATGTGACCCCTCCAAAAACCCACATATATGTGACCCCTCCAAAAACCCACATACCTCTGACCCCTACAATAACCCACATACCTGGGACCCCTACCATAACCCACATACCTATAACCCCTACCATAACCCAAATACCTATAACCCCTACAATAACCCACATACCTATGACACCTACAATAACCCAAATACCTGTGACTCCTACTATAACCCACATACCTGGGCAAGTGCCTGGATACACAAGGTGATGTCTGCACTGGTGATCTGAGAGATTACCATGCTGATTGTTGTGGCAGCATCAGTAGATTTGGCCATCCTCAGAGACGGAGAAGGAGGTCTGTTACGGCTGTTAACATCATAGAGAAAAGAAATATTATAACTTCACAACGTTGAGCTTACAAACATTCCCTTAGCTCTAGTCTGGTTTAAGTTCAGAATAGGTACGTTCATTTCAAAATCATACTATCTTGCACAGACAGTGCTTGTCAAATTGGATGGTCATTTTTTAAGCTTTCCTGCCCTTTACAAAATAGAAAGTGTTGTTCAAAATGAACAAGACAAAGTTTGTGATACCAATCAGAAAAGTTAGCTACTTTATTATATAGACAGGGTTACCATTACGTGATAGTCAGGGGCAGTTTGACAAGTTGAGCTAAGAGAGAGGTTACATCAGTAGAGAAGGCATTACGTGATAGTTGGGGGCAGTTTGACCGGTTGGAAAAGCTCCTCCAAGTCATACTGCAATAGCTTGGGGAACTCTAGCTGTGATGTCTGGTCATCTTCAATCTCAATAGCAAATTTCTTGACTGAGTTGGACGAGGCAGACTTGGGAATGCCAGTACCTGGTCTCTGTATTGTGGCTCTGTTACAACGAAAATACACACTGCATTAACAATTTGTTGAGGATAGTAAAATGACCTAACAGGCAGGCTACAGGTTTCAATCTACTGTACAATTATAGATGATGATGACAACTTTAACTTAGTGTACAGCTACAGATGATGATGACAACTTTAACTTAGTGTACAGCTACAGATGATGATGACAACTTTAACTTAGTGTAGAGCTACAGATGATGATGAAAACTCTAACTTAGTGTACAGCTACAGATGATGATGACAACTTTAACTTAGTGTAGAGCTACAGATGATGATGACAACTTTAACTTAGTGTAGAGCTACAGATGATGATGACAACTTTAACTAAGTGTACAGCTACAGATGATGATGACAACTTTAACTTAGTGTAGAGCTACAGATGATGATGACAACTTTAACTAAGTGTAGAGCTACAGATGATGATGACAACTTTAACTTAGTGTAGAGTTACAGATGATGATGACAACTTTAACTTCGTGTAGAGTTACAGATGATGACAACTTTTACTTAGTGTAGAGTTACAGATGATGATGACAACTTTAACTTAGTGTAGAGCTACAGATGATGACAACTTTTACTTAGTGTAGAGTTACAAGTGATGATAATTCTGTCTCAAAAGGTACATACTGGGAAGCAGATCGTTGAGGTTGCTGAGGGGCAGTTTTAGGGCGAGATTCCTCCGGAGCCTTTTGGGGCTGAGCAGATCTATTTTTCAGCGACCTCTTTATCCTCTCATCCAGTAGGTCCTGGTCTTTGTCATTGAGCTTAAATAATCAAGGTCACACATTAATTAGTAATGTCAATGTCAAAGTATATACCAAGGTCAGCATATTCAACCAGATAGAAATCACGATATATTTTACAGAAAATGAGGAACGACTGTGAAACATCCATTCAACCAACAAAATTAGATGAGATTATAAGTACATTATGCACAGCCACCAACCCGCCAACCTTCGAGATTCAAAACCAAGACTTGGGCAAAAACAAACATTCAGCATTAATGACAGAATTATCCAGGTTCCAGCCATGTTTCACAAAGAAAAAATCCATCTTTGAGGATCCAACCATAGTTGATTTGCTGTCTCTGTGTTTATTAATTTTCAACTGCTTTGTCATCGTTTTCACTACTAGGACTATATTTTGTTGCGTAGGGTTGTCTAGACATGATAGTTAGAGTTGTAAAAGTATCCAGATCAAGTATTGTCAGCTTGATGTGTCGTTTTGTGTTCCGGGGTAGGTTTTTGTAAAAAAATGTTATAAACAGAATATCTAACAGTGTCTTCAGTAATACCAAATATTTTTCACAAGTGTGGCTAATATATTGATATCTTTTCACTCATGCTGAGCACTCGTGAAAGATATCAAAATATTAGCCACACTCCTGAAACATAGTTGGTATTACTGAAGACACTGTTAGATATCCTCTATCTCATTCAATTCAAAGATTTTTGCCCTACCATTTTTGTTCTTGATGAAAACACATGTGTGATTCTGATTTACCAATACATTACTGAAAATGGGCATTGTTACTAGATTATGGCAAAATATACAAAATAGATTTTTTGTTTTTTAAATCATAAGTTAACTTCGAAATTATACAGACATAATTTAAACCTTGAAATCGTAATGATAATACCTAATATTATGAGTTGGAAACTCTGCATTATACTGATAGAGATTTGTGTAATAGTACCCACCACTCCCGTGTACTTGTATAGACTGTCCCCAAGTATGGTGTGGGCTACCACTGTTGCATTAAGGGCGGCATTCCTCACACCATTGTCACGGTTACCAATCTGACCGCTGATGGTTTTGAGTGCTTGTCCAGGTGTTGGCTGACAAATTGTGATGCCGTATGCCTCAATCAGACTTGATAACTCCTCCAGGCACTCTGTAATACACAAAACTCACATTAAACATCATTTCAATCACAGATCAGGGCTTGCTAGGTGAAGTGACTTTAACAGCACTAAAAACTAGAAAACATCTGCAAGGTAAGACATAATTGCCCCTGCTCCCAGACAAGTTAGTGTCATTGTTTATAGCCTACGAATTTTATCAAATTTATTGACTGATTACATCAACATAACTAATTTTATATTGTGATGTGTTAATCATCTACCCAAAGACACTTAAAAAGTTAAAATAATAATATGAAAAAAAAATATATAATTATCCTAAAACCACAATAATAGAAGAGTTACCAGAAATTATGAGGTGTCTTAAGGTACATACCCATGCGCTGCTTGGAGTTTTTGGATTTCAGACCATCTATTAGGTAGCTGAAGGTTTTGCTGGCTGGGTAGACTTTGTGGAGTAGTTTGAAAAGAACACGCACATCTCGCCTCACTCCATCCTTAGAGTCTCCCACCTACAATAGTCAAACAACTCTCGGATTCAGATAATCACGCCTGTCAACCCTAACCAAGTGCACACAGTAAGATTCAGCTTCTGAAAGTGTGAGGTTGGCTTTTCCTTGTAGTGAGATTTTGATGGCATCACAGCATATTTTTGTATCTGCAATCCTATTGATTTTGCACCTATTATTTTCAATCAGATTCAGAAAAACCCCAATGTAACTAAACTAATTAAAATTAACCTGTATTATATGATCTTCACACAACAAAGGGTCTCAATAAAAGGGATCAGCATTAATTCTATTTAAGTAGAGTACGAGGTCTTGTACTCACTTTGATGATGAGATAAGGTATGAAGGAGGTTGCCTCGTACTCAGCCAGGTGGTAGTCTTCCTCCACCAACATGGTGAAGAGTAGGCGCAGGTACTCTAGTGCCTTGTTCAGCATGCTAGGGTTTGTGTCGAAGAAGCGAATAGTAAACCACTTCAGGATAATATCCAGATTCACCATTGTCGCGTCATGCTGTGTGTCCAGACACTGTGGCATAAAGGACAGAATTCATATTTGTACATCAGAACAGAATTCTTCCAAGGGTTAAGCAATAAGGGTACAATGATGTTTCTAGTTTGGTTTAACATTTAAGGTTTACCTTGATAAGAATCTCTATAGCCTTGGTGTGACATTTGAAGTCTGTGTGGAAGAGTAAATCTATCATGCTTTTGCTGAAATTCTTTTCCATTTGTGTCCGCAACTGTTCTATATATTCTCCACGCACTTCAATGAAGTTCCATTTTAAAACCTAAAACAGAAAATTTGCAACAAAATGAAGGATGAGAGTGTTTAAATAAAACAAGAGGCCCATGGGCCTAAACGGTCACCTGAGTCTACAGTATTTATTTTTGTTGTTGAAATATGTACCAATTTGAGTAAAAAATAGTATAATGTTAACTTAACTTTGTCAGGACCATGAGCTGATCATTCCTAGACCAATTTTAAGTGAGATCGGCCTATTAGAACTTAGTAGCAAAATAGCGGCCATGGCAGCCAAATTGTATTTCTGATTGACCCGAAAAATAACAACACTTTGTCAGGACCATGATTCGATCATTCCTACAAAGTTTCAGTTCAATCGGCCAAGTAGATCTTTACTTTAAGTTTGAAATAGTTTTCCAAAATGGCAGCCGTGGTGGCCATATTGGATTTCTGATCGACCCGAAAAATAACAACACTTTGTCAGGACCATGAGTCAATCATTCCTACAAAGTTTCAGTTCAATCGGCCTAGCAGAACTTGACTTTAAGTTTGAAATATGTTTTCAAAATGGTGGCCGTGGCGGCCATATTGGATTTATGATTGACCTGAAAAATAACAACACTTTGTCAGGACCATGAGTCGATCATTCCTACAAACTTTAAGTTCAATCGGTCCAGCAGAACTTGACTTTAAGTTTGAAATAGGTTTTCAAAATGGCGGCCGTGGCGGCCATATTGGATTTCTGATCGACCCGAAAAATAACAACACTTTGTCAGGACCATGAGGCGATCATTCCTACCAACTTTCAGTTCAATCGGTCCAGCAGAACTTGACTTTAAGTTTGAAATAGGTTTTCAAAATGGCGGCCGTGGCGGCCATATTGGATTTCTGATCGACCCGAAAAATAACAACACTTTGTCAGGACCATGAGGCGATCATTCCTACCAACTTTCAGTTCAATCGGTCCAGCAGAACTTGACTTTAAGTTTGAAATAGGTTTTCAAAATGGCGGCCGTGGCGGCCATATTGGATTTCTGATCGACCCGAAAAATAACAACACTTTGTCAGGACCATGAGGCGATCATTCCTACCAACTTTCAGTTCAATCGGCCCAGCAGAACTTGACTTTAAGTTTGAAATGTAAAATGTTAACGGACGACGGACGACGACGGACGAAAACGGATAGCAATAGGTCACTTGAGCTAAAGCTCAGGTGACCTAAAAAATCAGTAAAGATGCCACCATGAAGAAACTTTCCATATAACAAATCAACCTTGGTTGGCTCCTGAGCTGTAATCCTATATATAGCTCTACAGTGTAGAGCTTTACAGAGAATAAAAGTGTCTTGTATAAAGTCTCTTGTTTATAACTACAGTTACAAAAAGTGTCTTGTGTATATAACTACAGTTACAGGAAGTGTCTTGTGTATAGGTCTACAGATACAGGGAGTGCCTTGTGTATTGGTTTACAGATACAGGAAGTGCCTTGTGTATAGGTTTACAGATACAGGAAGTGTCTTGTGTATAGGTTTACAGATACAGGAAGTGTCTTGTGTATTGGTTTACAGATACAGGAAGTGCCTTGTGTATAGGTTTACAGATACAGGAAGTGGCTTGTGTATAGGTCTACAGATACAGGAAGTGTCTTTTGTATAGGTCTACATATACAGGAAGTGTCTTGTGCATAGGTCTACAGATACAGGAAGTGTCTTGTGTATAGGTCTACAGATACAGGAATTGTCTTGTGTGTATAACTACAGTGACAAGAAGTGTCTTGTGTATAGGTCTACAGATACAGTAAGTGTCTTGTGTATAGATTTAAAGATACAGGAAGTGTCTTTTGTATAGGTCTACATATACAGGAAGTGTCTTGTGCATAGGTCTACAGATACAGGAAGTGTCTTGTGTATAGGTCTACAGATACAGGAAGTGTCTTGTGTATAGGTCTACAGATACAGGAAGTGTCTTGTGTATAGGTCTACAGATACAGGAAGTGTCTTGTGTATAGGTCTACAGATACAGGAAGTGTCTTGTGTATAGGTCTACAGATACAGGAAGTGTCTTGTGTATAGGTCTACAGATACAGGAAGTGTCTTGTGTATAGGTCTACAGATACAGGAAGTGTCTTGTGTATAGGTCTACAGATACAGGAAGTGTCTTGTGTATAGGTCTACAGATACAGGAAGTGTCTTGTGTATAGGTCTACAGATACAGTAAGTGTCTTGTGTATATAACTACAGATACAGGAAGTGTCTTGTGTATAGGTCTACATATACAGGAAGTGTCTTGTGTATATAACTACAGTGACAGGAAGTGTCTTGTTTATATGATTACATTGATTGTAGAAGTTCTGTATATAACTACAGATACAGGAAGTGTCTTGTGTATAGGTCTATAGATACAGAAAGTGCTTGTGTATATAACTATAGTGACAGGAAGTGTCTTGAGTATAGGTCTACAGGGCCCACTTGTATAAAACATCTCAAAGTTAAGGAAAATCTCAAGCAATGTATTGTCTATGGGAAATCTTAGACTTGAGGAAATCTCAAGAGTTGAGATGTTTTATACAAAAGTGGGCCCAGATACAGGAAGTGTCCTGTGTGTAGGTCTACAGATACAGGAAGTGTTTTGTTTATATGTTTACAGTGATTGTAGAAGTTCTGTATATAACTACAGATACAGGAAGTGTCTTGTGTATATCACTTTAGTGACAGGAAGTGTCTTGTGTATAGGTCTACAGATACAGGAAGTGTCTTGTGCATAGATCTACAGATACAGGAAGTGTATATGTTTACAGTGATTGTAGAAGTTCTGTATATAACTATAGTGACAGGAAGTGTCTTGTGTATATAACTACAGTGACAGGAAGTGTCTTGTGTATAAAACTATAGTGACAGGATGTGTCTTGTGTATATAACTACAGAGAACAGAAGTGTCCGCACTATATTAATTACTGCAGACAGAAATATATTGTTTGTAGCTTTACTGTGATTGGAAAATTCTTTTGTATAGAACTAATGTGAACAGAAGTGTACTGTGTACAATGTACCTTCATGGTCTTCTCATCCTTGAAGCGCTGCTCTTTGGGTACTGTAGTGTTCATAGGAGGCCCTAGGTCCTCATCTTCCTTCTTTTTTTTACTTGGTGCTGGAGCCTGTCCAAAACAAGAGTCATCAACTTTAAATATTCCTCAGCTATGTTTTTTTGCATTTTCTTTATATATTTTTTATGGCTGTGATGTCTGGAGATACCTCTCAAAATGAACTTCATCTTGCTTTTATTTCACATCTGGACATAAAATAAACAAAATAGCTTTACTAATAAAAATGCAATTATTTGATGATCCTGACCAACATAGAAGCCCCGAACACATGTAGTCAAATTTATCCCACCAACTCACTCCAGCTTTAGATGAACCGATTGTCTTAAGAACAATGTTACGTAATTTCTAACAGGTTTTTTTCACCATTTTTCAATTCATATACTTACAAGTGTTTCAAAAACATTTCCTGCATATAAATATACTACAGTCTATGGTTTTTATTATTTTTATTACAAATCATATTTGAATTTTTGTGTAAGTTAAGATTATGTCTTACACCCTTTGCCTTGCCGCGGACAGTCTTGCTTGCAGGCTTGCTGTCAACACTATCCTGTGAAGCAGTGGAGAGCGGTCGGCTTGGCTTGCTGGGTTCAGGTTCGTCATAACTCTCTGGAGTACTGGCCTTCACTGGTGCTGCAGCTTTCTTAGCTTTCTGTGGTTTGGCTGGGAGGTTTCCTCTTGCTTTCTCAAGCAATGCAAGAATCGTGTCCTTAGATCCAGGCTGTAAAAGTCAATAAACAGTATACCAGAGGGTTTCTGTGCAAACACTGGAAATGAGCTGGGATATTTTGAAGTCTGATAGCTTGGGTATTAACAAGTTGAAGGAGATTTTTGGAACAAAGCTTGAACAAATTTTGGTTTACTCTGTTATTTCTGAAAATCTGAAGAATTTTCTCTTCTGCAACATACTTTTTCAAACCTTGAAGTACAAATATACTTTAACATATTTCATGACTTCATCAAGGTTTCATAAGATAAAAGTTGTTAAACCTAAACAATACAAGAGGTCCAATGGGCTTGCATCGCTCACCTGGTATTAATCTTACAATTGTAACTTTAAAAGAGAACCAAAATAAAGCTACAGGCAAAATATCAGTGTTTTGACTTAAAAGTCATTCAGAGGATTAAAACACATTTGACCCCTGTGACCTTGAAAGTCAAACATGGACATTAAGTTAAAAACTTAACAGCCCTTCATCCTAGAATGCAACTTGCCAAATATCACCATCCTATACATGACTTTTAAAGATTTATGCACTATAGACCAGATGTGACCATGAAAGGTCATTCAAATCTACAAGCAATCACCCTGTGCACTTAAGTTATTCAGAAGAAGTCGTTTAAAGATTTCAACATATTTGACCCCTGAGACCTTGAATAGGGGCAAAGGTCATTCATTTGAACCTTTATCCCTGCATGCTAATGGACAAATATCATCAGCCTGGGTCTCTTGGTTATTCAGAAGAAGTTGTTTAAAGTAACAAGAGGCCCATGGGCCTTAACGGTTACCTGATATATTTATACAGAGAGTTGACTTTGTTTTTAACATGAACAGAAACATTATTCAAAGTGACAAAAAACAATAAAACCACCTTATTCAATATCTAGCATACAGATTTAAGACTAAAAAGTATTTGAAACTAGCACCTCTGATTCTAAACAAGGAAAATGAAGAAATTTTAGCACACCGACTCCTTTGTGTGCCCAACCCTACAGCCCTTGGGGGTAGGGCTGGCTAAAAATGTAATATTCAAAGTATCATTTGCCGTTATAAACCATCATAAATTTTGCCTTCCATCTATGAAGAGTATTTGATTCTACCATATCTGGGTCTTGAGAAGAAGATTTTTGAAATTTCAGTCAATTTGACCCTTTTTGGCCCCACCCATCAGCCCCGGGGGTCAGTCAGGGCTGATATGTGCATACTATCAAACTGCTACCTAATACTGATAATGCTAACCTAAATTGAATTACTTCCAATGGAAATTAAACAAATGTTGGTCCAAAATGTGATTTCCCCATATAAACTATAGTAAAGTTTACCCCCTCCCCAGGGGAAAACGTGAGACCCCAGGGTCAAGAAATTCACAATTTTGGTAAAGCACCTTAAGACCCTTCCATCTATGAAGAGTATTTGATTCTAACATATCTGGGTCTTGAGAAGAAGATTTTTTGAAATTTTAGTCAATTTGACCCTTTTTGGCCCCGCCCCTCAGGCCCCTGGGGGCTTGGGACTAAACCGGCAACTATTTTTGTTGACCTTTGTCCATGGAAGGTTCCTACAAAATTTCATTGAAATTGGTTCAGTGGTTTTGGAGTAGAAATGTAAATTGTTTATGGACGCACGACGGGCGACAGACGACGACGGACAAAAGGCGATCGCAATAGGTCACTTGAGACTTTGTCTCAGGTGACCTAAAAAGTTAAAGACAGACGACGGACAATGGCATAAAAATATGTTTGTTAATGAAGAACATTAAAATTCCTTTTAATACCATAAATAATTTAGTACCTTCATTTTTGCTGCTGCCTTAAACAAGCTTTCGTAACCAACATGGATCATAAAAGGTACAAGTGCTTCCTGTGCTTTCTTCCTTATGTCAGAATTCCTATCCTCAAGGCAGTTTAATAGCAGCGGCACACATTGTTTGAAGTCCGGTGGTAGTTGTTTGTGGTTTGGTAGCTTTTCTGATAGCCAACCCAGCAGCTGAAGATGAGTATATTATTAAGGAGTGATACTGCAAATTTGGTTAGTGTGTTCAATGTATACTTCCTATTAATACATCTTTATTCTGGCACAAAAATCCATGACAACTTACTTCTTGCCTTTCACATACATTTCAAAATTATAATAGCGTGATAAATTTCATCTTGAAAGGGACAAATGCTGATATATTCAAAAACAAATATGAAAGAAACAAATAAAATATCTGATGATGTACTAACATTAATGAAACTGAAATGGATGGAACACCACGACAAAGAATGAAAATGAAATCCCCTTAACCCAAAAATTCAAGAAAAATGTCTTGGTGACTATATGTGACTACTGCAGACAGTTACCTCCTGCCTGAGGTTGGGGTTCTCCAGTCTCAATGCATCTAGGATAGCCTCAACTTCCACCAAGGGCACTAAGTTACACTGGTCCACCCAGGCGTTGAGTGCTCCCACTGCCGCCGCCCTCAGTGCAGGCTGTAACAAATTAGGGTCAAGTTTTGTATAATTTTTGTAGTTATTTTTTGTGCAACATCTGTCACATGTGAGACACCAAAAAAACCCAAAACAAAACACATACAATACAGTGTATGTTTTTCACTAATACATGGGGATCAGGTATGTAGACAAAGACGAAACCAAGTACATACAACACAACAAGTTTACAACAAACTCCTGGGTACTTCATATGTAGCCAAACAACCAAGTACATACAACACAGCAAGTTTATAACCAACTCCTGGGTACTTCATATGTAGCCAAACAACCAAGTGCATACAACACAGCAAGTTTATAACCAACTCCTGGGTACTTCATATGTAGCCAAACAACCAAGTGCATACAACACAGCAAGTTTATAACCAACTCCTGGGGACTCCATATGTAGCCAAACAACCAAGTACATACAACACAGCAAGTTTATAACCACCTCCTGGGGACTTCATATGTAGCCAAACAACCAACCAAGTACATACAACACAACAAGTTTATATCTAACTCCTGGGGACGCCATATGTAGTCAAACAACCAACCAAGTACATACAACACAACAAGTTTATATCTAACTCCTGGGGACGCCATATGTAGTCAAACAACCAAGTACATACAACACAGCAAGTTTATATCTAACTCCTGGGTACTTCATATGTAGTCAAACAACCGACCAAGTACATACAACACAACAAGTTTATATCTAACTCCTGGGGACGCCATATGTAGTCAAACAACCAAGTACATACAACACAGCAAGTTTATATATCTCACTCCTGGGTACTTCATATGTAGTCAAACAACCGACCAAGTACATACAACACAACAAGTTTATATCTAACTCCTGGGGACGCCATATGTAGTCAAACAACCAACCAAGTACATACAACACAGCAAGTGTAGATCTAACTCCTGGGGACTTCATATGTAGCCAAACAAAACAAAGTACATACAACACAGCAAGTTTATATCTAACTCCTGGGTACTTCATATGTAGTCAAACAACCGACCAAGTACATACAACACAACAAGTTTATATCTAACTCCTGGGGACGCCATATGTAGTCAAACAACCAACCAAGTACATACAACACAGCAAGTGTATATCTAACTCCTGGGGACTTCATATGTAGCCAAACAACACCAAGTACATACAACACAGCAAGTTTATATCTAACTCCTGGGTACTTCATATGTAGCCAAACAACCAAGTACATACAACACAGCAAGTTTATATCTCACTCCTGGGGACTTCATATGTAGTCAAACAACCAACCAAGTACATACAACACAGCAAGTTTATATCTAACTCCTGGGGACTTCATATGTAGTCAAACAACCAACCAAGTACATACAACACAGCAAGTTTATATCTAACTCCTGGGGACTTCATATGTAGTCAAACAACCAACCAAGTACATACAACACAGCAAGTTTATATCTAACTCCTGGGGACTTCATATGTAGTCAAACAACCAACCAAGTACATACAACACAGCAAGTTTATATCTAACTCCTGGGGACTTCATATGTAGTCAAACAACCAACCAAGTACATACAACACAGCAAGTTTATATCTAACTCCTGGGGACTTCATATGTAGTCAAACAACCAACCAAGTACATACAACACAGCAAGTTTATATCTAACTCCTGGGGACTTCATATGTAGTCAAACAACCAACCAAGTACATACAACACAGCAAGTTTATATCTAACTCCTGGGGACTTCATATGTAGTCAAACAACCAACCAAGTACATACAACACAGCAAGTTTATATCTAACTCCTGGGGACTTCATATGTAGTCAAACAACCAACCAAGTACATACAACACAGCAAGTTTATATCTAACTCCTGGGGACTTCATATGTAGTCAAACAACCAACCAAGTACATACAACACAGCAAGTTTATATCTAACTCCTGGGGACTTCATATGTAGTCAAACAACCAACCAAGTACATACAACACAGCAAGTTTATATCTAACTCCTGGGTACTTCATATGTAGCCAAACAACCAAGTACATACAACACAGCAAGTTTATATCTAACTCCTGGGTACTTCATATGTAGTCAAACAAAACCAAGTACACACAGTACAGTGTGAACATAACTTCAGATGAAGACAAGCAAATTTGTGGAATTTATAGCCCCCGCTTGCAGGACATTTGTAGGTTAACATTATTGAGGTTAGGTTTAAACATGTGAGTATCGTGCTGTTGAGACATAATGTATAGCTTGAAACTTGAAGAAAAAAAAGCAAGCCCTTTACCTCGTTGATTATCCGTAAATATGCACAAATCATATCGGTTGGCAAACTTATTTAACGCAAACTGCAGATAATGATGTATTTCGTTAATTAAGGGGCCATTACTCTGCCAAATGGAGTTTGATAAAAGTGGTTGTCAAACTTGGCCGAGCCCTTAAGGCATTTAAGCCTGTGACCAAGTTTGAAGAAAATTCGTTAACATTTGTTGTCGTTATTGCACGGAAACGAAGCGCAGCAGATAATGGTGTTTTTCATTATTCAAGAGGCCCTAACTCCGCCAAATAAAGTCTGCATAAAGCTTGTCATCGAGCTTGGCCAAGCCCTTAAAGCATTTAACCCTGTTAATCGGTAAACATTTGTTGTAGTTATTGCACGTAAATGCGCGTGACAGACAGACAGACAAACCCAAATTAATATCCCCCGTTTTGGAGAAAGCAGGGGATAATAAATAAAACTATACACATACAGTACACCATTTTCAAAACTACCTCAGTTGACCTATGAGATTGCTTTCAATTGGAAATCACATTGTTTAGTAATCCTGGAACATACCTCTCACAACGGACACATCGTAAGATTGAGTATATGATATTGGGCAAAGATACTGTACCTTACTGTCTCCAAAACAGCCAATAAGAGCAGGCCCTATGACTCGGATATGATGTTTGCAGTGAGGTCCCATGTTGGTGGCTAATGTTGAACAAATTGCAATTGTCATGTTCACCTGCAAAGATGCAACAGATGTAATAAAATATACATTTTTTTCTACAATTTATGTCTTAAAATTAAATCTTGAAGCAAACAATATTATTTACTTAAAATCAATGAAAAGGATTGGTGTCATCAGAGAATAATTTTAGGCAGAAACATTTTATCATTAAACAACCTTCTTTTCAATAGTTACACAAAAGACAGTAAAAGCACCTTTGTTAGCACACTGATATTTTAGTGCTCAAGGGTATATCCTATCTATTGGTGCATTTATAGATTAGAGCCACTTATTCCTAAAGCAAACATATTTCGGGCAACAGTAACACTGTAAATGTAAGGGCACATGAGAACATAAGATAACTACTAAGACTGAAACAGTAAAACTGAACAAACAATGTGACTACATGTACTTTATTGGAGGGTCACCTATAGTACTTTATTGGAGGGTCACCTATAGTACTTTATTGGAGGTAGTGTGACCTATCAATAGTTTGTTGAGAGATATGATGACCTACCAGTATTTTGTTGGAGTCTCCAAGGCGGAGCTTGATTGACTCGGGAAGGGGACCCAGGTTGGCCGTGATAAATTTGGCTTCATTTAATATGGCAGCAACTTTCTCCAGAGACTCCTTCCTAATCTTCCAGTTCTTATCAGCCATCTCTGCCATCAGTTCTGGTGTAAACTTTTCCCTATCAACCACATGTAATTTTATGAAAAAGAGTGTAAACACAAATTTAATATTGGGCTTATGAATAATTCAGTGAAACATACTCTACAGACATCTTGGTACAATAAAGCCAGTGAGATTTTTCAGATATTCATTGTATTTGTTCCTGTGTTTATTTGCTTGGTATACTTACCCTACATCATTCCTTGGTATGAGGTCAGTTGAATTACTTTCCTCTGTTTCACCACCTTCCTCATCATCATCATCCTCCTCATCACCCCCTGTAGGTATGACAGGTCCCCTAGTAGGAGCTGGGGCTTTCTCTCCCTTCACCTGTAAAACAGTCTTATATGAAACAGACAATATAAAGCTACACAAATCATGTCAAACTGACTGTACATTAAGTGACAGTGTGTAGCTTTGTACAAAGCACCACATATGTGAGACTAACACAAAGTACCACATATGTGAGACTAACACAAAGCACCACATATGTGAGACTTACACAGAGCTACACATATGTGAGACTAACACAAAGCTACACATATGTGAGACTAACACAGAGCTACACATATGTGAGACTAACACAAAGCTACACATATGTGGGACTAACACAAAGCACCACATATGTGAGACTAACACAGAGCTACACATATCATGTTCCCCAATGACAGTATCTTATACTTATATAGCTTATATTTACATAGGTATTTAACATTGTTAAAGATTTAAATCTCATTAACAATAGTAATTTTATTTTTGCTCATTTTCCAGACCTTTTCGATCTCAGCATCAATCTGTTGAAGAAGCGCTGCTTTCTCGTCTTCAAAAAACACCCGGGCAGTTGGACCCATGTACAGGTACAAGACAGGCACCAAGTTTATGGCTGATGTTCTAATAGCCTGTGTACACAAAAAGAAACATGATCCATCACCAACAGTCATAAAGCAATATTTCCAGCATGCTCAAATCAAATTTTTTCAGTTCTTCACAATATTTTTCGCCGATTGTTCATTTCCATCTTTACATTTTGGTCGGGGTCACATTAATAGTGATTTGAGGAATACTAAAAAAAAATCTTGAGGTTTTAGTTTTAACTGATTGGGTAAAATGCCCATTTTGCATTAGGAACTGGGTCTGTTCACTTACAGGGTTTGTAGCTCCAAAGGCTTTCTTGATCAGGGCTACCAAAGCTTTGGCATTGATTCTGAAACAAGACGACATAATTGTGAACATAGTTGATATATCCAAAGAATTTCCTAATCAGAGATATCAGTTTTTAGGATTTGCCTTTATTTTCTCTATTGGACTCCTCTTCTCTGAACCCAGGGTGTTGGGGCGGAGGTAAGGTGGTGGGCATTGGCCAAAGATACTAATACCCTCATGAACAAAAGTGATGAGAAATGGTAAATGTATAGAACAGTTATAACTGATGATGTCAATATTCTATTTACAGAAACAGTGATCTTAGAAAGGTCAAAACACAAATTTGTACAAGAGGTGGAAATTATGAACATGTCTTCAAAACATTTGTGACTATGGGAAAAACGATTACCTGGTATGTCAGAAAAGCAATGATGCAAAAATTCTATTTCAAGTTACTGTGACCTTATTTTTGACCCCAGAAGGTTGAAATGCATAATTGCCCAAGAGATGATGTATATCGAAGTTTCATCACAATCAAACGAGACATTGAAAATCTGTTAGGCGATGACTTCATCAAAGACATGAACCTACTGTAAAATCCCATACAATTCTAGACATTCCAAGGGTATATTCAGTTAAAATCCCTTTACAGCCACTATAGGAATAGGATTTTAAAGATATACCCGACTTCCCCCTCGGGGGTAGGTAAGCTTAAATTTTGTGAGGAGATAAATCCTCCAGTCGTGAAACAAGTCCAAAGTGTTAGATGCTATATTATGGGTTTTGTTTAGAAGAAGAAAATCAACATTTTAATACTTACTTGAAACCAAACTCTTTGATGGCATTCCCCAGCCAATTCATACACTCTGAACTGTTCTTAGGATTTTTCTGCTCGGATGAGAGTTTCATCACCTACATAAGTCAAAATATGCTTTTGAAATATGGTGAATAATAAACCAAATGAACCTTTTTTAACCACAACAATATTTATCGTGTAACAGAAATTTATGAACTCGCTCCTGTATCTTGTAACAAAATGGGCTGTAAATAAGGTCATTAATGATAAAGGATGGAACCATCTTATACATGTAAGACAGTGGGTATTAGTACATTTGAGGTCAAATCTTATGATTTGGGTAACACCGTGTATTGATTGACGGGGAACTGTGGAATTGTAAATAGTGCATCTAATGGTGACCAGGTCAGTCCTAGATGACATAGGGATAGGGACGAGAGAGTGAACTTCCAGAAACCAACAGGGGTAACTGCCATTGGAAGGGGAAAGTCAGTTTAGATGTTAGATTAGAAGTCAGGTTAAACTGTTGTACGTGCCTCCTTACTTATGCACAATAGGTGGTACCGGTATCATGAATAGTTAATCAGATATGTAACATGAGTTTTGATAAAACGGACTTGCACAGGGAAGTCTAGAGAGTCTAAAGTTGAGAGTTAGGGTTGGAGGTTCGAGAATGTGAGCCTTTGAAGAGAGAGGCCAGAGAAGGCCTCTGCAGGAGGGGCCTGGGATGGCCCGGGTACGGCAATTGGTGTACTTTAGAACTATGCGTTTGTTGTTGAAACTCTATATTATCTGTGTGCAGGTAGATTTGCTATTGTGTTCCAGAACTGAGTGAAAAAGGACATTTGTGGAATTTAAGAGAGATCTTGAAGGTATGGACCCTGACTGACTGACTACATGCTAAAGGTAAAGGCTGGTACCTTGGCTACACTTGACCAACCACCCTGCCTATAAACTTGAGGGATAACGTCTTGGCTACAATTGGTTCACCTTCCTACCTATAAACTTGAAGGATGACCTCTTGGTTACCATTGACCTACCTCCCTGCCTTTATAACTTGAGGGATGCAACTTGGTTACAATTGACCCACCTCCCTCCCTGCCTATAAACTTGAAGGATGACGTCTTGGTTACCATTGACCTACCTCCCTGCCTATAAGCTTGAAGGATGACCTCTTGGTTACCATTGACCTACCTCCCTTCCTATATACTCGCGGCATTATTGAGGTTAGGTTTAAACATGTGAGTATCGTGCATATACTTGAGGGATGCCCTCTTGGTTACCATTGACCTCCCCCCCTGCCTATATACTTGAGGGATGACCTCTTGGTTCCCATTGACCTACCTCCCTGCCTATATACTTGAGGGATGACGTCTTGGTTACAATTGACCTACCTCCCTGCCTATATACTTGAGGGATGACCTCTTGGTTACCATTGACCCACTTCCCTGCCTATATACTTGAGGTATGACGTCTTGGTTACCATTGACCTCCCCCCCTGCCTATATACTTGGGGGATGACGTCTTGGTTACCAGTGACCTACCTCCCTGCCTACAAATTTTAGGGATGACGTCTTGGTTGCCATTGACCCCCCTCCCTGCCTATAAACCTGAGGGATGACGTCTTGGTTACCATTGACCTACCTCCCTGCCTACAAATTTGAGGGATGACGTCTTGGTTGCCATTGACCCACCTCCCTGCCTATATACTTGAGGGATGACGTCTTGGTTACCATTGACCTACCTCCCTGCCTACAAATTTGAGGGATGACGTCTTGGTTACCATTGACCCACCTCCCTGCCTATAAACTTGAAGGATGACGTTTTGGTTACCATTGACCTACCTCCCTGCCTATAAACTTGAAGGATGACGTCTTGGTTACCATTGACCTACCTCCCTGCCTATAAACTTGAGGGATGACGTCTTGGTTACCATTGCAATTTGACCTACCTCCCTGCCTACATAGTCCAGGGACACTGCCTCGGCTATACAGCTCAGTGTTTCCTTTACTGCAGCCCCATTCTTCACATCACCGATTTTGTCCACCAGATCTGCCAGGCAATACTCCGCAGATATCCGTGAAAATTTGGTATTTTTTGCTAGATGGCCAACTGTCTCCACACGTATCTTCAAAACCTAAAGATGGCATAACAGAGGTTTTATACAAGGGTGTGAAGATACATTCTAAAGTGATATATTGTTATACCATTTCAAGACAAATCACAGAACAGTACAAATAAATAGCGATATATCACATGAAATTTGTTCAATATTTCGCCGATAGATTTTTGACAGCTTTACTTTTGTAGCTATAAGGGTTTTAATAAATAACTGATTCCACAGCCCAGTGGCTTCCTGGCATCTCGTAAACCCGTAAACTCAACAAGAATAGAATTGACCTTTGGCACAGCTCTGTTCCGCTGTGGGCTAACTTTATATCAGAATATAATTGTGAACTGCAAACAACTGACCTGGAAGTTGGTATCCTTGAGTCCTGGTTTCTTACACACAGTGCGTAGCAAGGCCTGACAAGGTATATCGTCTTTACTCAGACCTTTTAATGTCTGAAACAATAAAAAAGTTCACAATAAGTGTTTTCCTCATAAATGAGTTCTTGCATTTGAAATTATTTATTTTTAGGAATTGCGTTCCAGGACTGTTACCTACGTAACTTTGTACAGGATAGCGTAAACTGATAGCAAGCATTCTACAAGGAGGATTATATAATCAATTGTAAAATGAAAAGGTCATATCATGAAACCTTTGCATCTTTCTTTTGACAAATAAATCTGCCATTATTTCTTCTGGTTCCTTTGATCCTTACATCAATGAGTGTAATCATTCTAGTCTATTTGAAAGAAGAAAGTACCTGGTATATCAGGATAAGGACTATTCACATAAATGTGCGACTTAGTGTTTGAAAGTGACAATTTGTTTCTAAAATATCCGTTTGAAGAGCGACCCTGGCGCGGGTCGCTTATTTCCCACATATTATAGAGGGCCGAAGTTCTGACCCTCATGATGACAGAATAGAAAAGATGCAATTTTGTTAGTTATGACATCCTTAAAAAGTCACTAGCCCGAGCTAGTAAGCCTCTAAGCCAAAGCTGAAAATCTGATGGCGATGGACTGGACACCCCAGCGTTGAAGTTACATTACTGTACAGTATATTTTAGCTATTAAAAATGTTTTATTTAACTGGTCCTTAGTCGGTCTACACGATAATACAACAGGCCCAGAGGGCCTGTATCGCACACCTGAATAATAAACCAACCATTGGAAACTATTCTTATTACATAAAATCCCTCCAACGGTACAGAAGAAAGATTTTATAGATTTAAACCTCAAATTTTCATATTGGGCCCCACAACTCTCAGCACCCAGAGGGGCCTCACCCTTCGTTTCTACAAAATTGAGTCCCCTTGGCCCAAGGATACTCCAGACAAAATATGTATGAAATCCTTTAATCCCTATGGTAGAAGAAGGATGTAAAATATTTGTACCTCTATTTCCCCTATTGGGCCCTGCAACTCTGTCCCAAGGGGGTCAAAACCCACTGTTTATACAATATTGAGTCCCCTTGGTCCAAGGATGCTCCAAGCCAAATTAGGATAGAATCCCTTAATCCCTATAATAGAAGGAGGAGTTCAAATCTTAGAACCTCTATTTCCCCCTATTGGGACCCACCCCTCTGCTCCAAGGGTGTCCACACCCACCGTTTATAGAAAATTAAGTCCCCTTGGCACAACGATGCTCCAGACTAAATTGGGATGACATCCCTTAATCCCTATGATAGAAGAAGGATTACAAAGGTTTACCTCTATTTCCCCTATTGGGCCCCACCCCTCTGCTCCAAGGGTGTTCACACCCACCGTTTATACAAAATTAAGTCCCCTTCCCTTGGCCTAAGTATGCTCCATACCAAATGTTGTCAAAATCTACTGGGCCGATCAGGACAAGTAGCGTTTTTAAGGAAAAGTTGACGAATGGACAGAACAGACTGACGGACGGTTGACGCTGCGCCATGGCATAAGCTCACTTGCCCTTCGGGCAGGTTAACTAATAAAAAGTGTGCAAGTTATCTCCCTTTAATCATCGAGACTTGCCAGCTCCTGTTTCCGGTTGAGAGAAAAACGTTTCCCAGACATTGAAATGGGGTAAAAAAGACAAAACAAACATGATTTTACTGGTTTTAATGGTGCGACAATGTCATAGATTTTTTTTAATTTCAATGACAATAATGGACCATGAGCAGAAGTGATTTCCCCCAGAACAGCATGTGGTACATTTTTTTGCTCAAACCAACCATGCACAGAAGTTCTTTATTTTGCCGTCTGTGGGGTAGGGGTATGTTCTAATATCATTTCAAATAGATTATTGTTGGGGTTTTTTTCTTCTGTAAAGGTAACTATTAACTTATCAACCCCCTCCCCCAACCAACTCTGAGGTAAATTCAACCAATTCAATTTTTATGTAAGTTTGGTTTATTGTGTAACACAAAGTGACCTCACCGTGGACATTTTCTCCATGCTGGCTAATCTCTCCTTCCAGTTGGAGCTTGACAACTGGGCCACGGTCTCGGCAGACAGTACTGCAGTGGCTTTCTCCTCTACAGCCTCGTCCTGTCAACATGTATTGTAAAGGGCATCACACACAGCAAGGCATAGCACAACATGTACTTACCATATAGTGTAGGATCAATATTAAGTTTTCCAGATTTACCTATCAACTTTCCCAATTTGGAACTAAGGTTCATTTTCTAAAATCGCCCAATAAATCCTTGCATGATGAGTTAAGTCATCAAATACAAAACCAGCAAGGTCAACATAAGGTCATCTTATTTTTATCTATGATTAAAGTCAAAGTCATCACCTCACATGATCAAAGTCATCACCTCACATGATCAAAGTAATCACCTCACATGATCAAAGTCATTACCTCACATGATCAAAGTCATCACCTCACATGATCAAAGACATCAATCACATGATCAAAGACATCAATCACATGATCAAGGTCATCCCATGTCACATTACCAAGGTCATTATATGCCTGAAGGTCAAGGATATAACATGATTTTTAGTCATTTTAGGTCACTACATTTGAAATGACCAAGGGTATATTTCAAAGTCATTAAAAATCTAAAAGTAATCACATATGTCAAGGTCATCACATTTCTCATGGTTATATCTCAAGGTCAGTTAAGATATATATCCAAGGTCAATATGTATCACAGTTATCACACATATCAAAATTGAACCAATCACACATCACATGTATATCCTTCAATAACATGTCAGAATAATGATAGAATCGGGTACGAATTAGCATTTAGTACCAGACACTGATGTTGGATGATTTTTACAAGGTTATATTATCCGTGCAAGGTCACATACAATGTAATATCAAGGAATCAACATCCCTCAAGATACTTATTCTATGTTACAAATTGTGGGCACTAGTTAAATCCTTTGTTGTTGCTATGCCTTACCGACAGGGCGTTCTCTGTGAACTCGTTGCCTCCCTCAGCAGCTCCTCCCTTTTTGTCCTTGCCTTTGGTAGCTTTAGCAGGAGCTTTCTTTTTAGGTGGCTGTAACAGTCAAACACAACAAAGTTTTGCATTAAGAATTTGAATGATTAATTCGTACATCTAATTATAAAGTTTGAACCCATTGATGAAGTATTTTAATGCCAACTACAGTCGAACCTTGTTATCTCGAACTCTTTTAACTCAAAGACCCTGTTTATCTCGAAATATTTCTCCGGTCCCGGCAAGAACTCTTCTTTATCTTAGCAAATAAAACTCTTGATAATTTGAACCCTGAAAAGTCGAAAAACTCAGATACCTTGAAGAAAGATATTGGTTTCGATTATTAGCGTAAATCCAACATTAAAACATCGTCTACTGCATAGTGTTCGAATTTCATTTTGTCACTTATTAATTCTTTGATACAAATGAAACGCAAAAGTACGACATCTCACCATTCCATGTTAATAATAATAATAATTATAATAATTTGAGGTTCTTATATACCGCTTTATCACAACCTAGTTTGTAGGTCGTCTCAAAGCGGTTCACAAATTATTATCCATGGTTATAGGGCCTTTGCAATCAGCTAATATCTTTCTCAACTCCCTCGGGAGCATACAGCCGGAGCTGCTATTTCAGCGCTAACAGCTAGCATTCAACAATTCTAGAGCTGCCCAACCACATTCTCATTTACAGCTGAGTAGACTAGAACAAGCTGAGTAAAGTATCTTGCTCAAAGATACAACACAGTGCCGTGACTCGAACTTGAAAGTCAATCGAGAGTCTTAAGAACAATACGATAATTGCTTTTGATTAAATCAAGATGAGGAGGTGTCAGGTGTCACATTTGGCTTTAATTAATTTAAAGTGTTACAAGTATGATATAATTGTTTTGTGTGTTTTCATTTTAATACAGAATCAACTACGCGTTCACTCCATTACAGTGATTTGTTTTAGACTTGCGCACTTTCATTTCCGCATTGTATAGTAAGAGGTAGGAGACAGTGGGATAGTTTGATTTTTAAATGTAACACTTCAGAAGTAAAACTTAACGGACTTGCAAATACAAATGTAGACCTGGAAAGACTTTGCTAAGATCTAGACTAGCCAAAAACAACAATTCAATAACTAGGCTCGTCCATATTTAATAACGAATTCACAATGTGGTCCAACCGTTTTGATTGCGTTAAACGAAAGTACATTTTTCAGAAATGACTTTTTTTGTAAGCGTGTTTATTGTAAAATAACATACCTGTATCAGTTATATTGATTACGTATATCATTCATCGATTGATTACAAGCATTGGCTATCAATAAAATCAACAACTGCTAGTGCTATGTCCAAACAGCAAATTTCATACCAAATATTTATACCCACATAACTCAAATACTCGGATAACTCAAAGTTTTTCCACGACCCCGTTGATTTCGAGATAACGAGGTTCGACTGTAATATGTTACAATAGTTATTTTTTACTATTTATCCCACTAATCAATAAAACATGAACGGCTATGGCCATTTCTAATTCTGCTGGCATTTGACCCAGTTTTTCTGTTACATCACTTACCCCTCCTTTAGCACCTGCTGGTTTAGACTGGCCAGACTAAAAAAGACAGGACAATATTGAAATGACACTGTTGTTTGTTCTATCCATTATTTCATGCAAGTGCTGAATAGAATCCTATCAATTCTGTATTTCTGATAAACATTAGATCATTTTTTCCCTTACCAACACAGGTCATAATGCCTGAATTTCTTTAATATCTTAATCATTTGAATTTGTAACTATTTGAATTCAAACAGAATTGTATGATTCTTTCTGACTTGCAACAGAAATACTGTTAAGTAATAAAATAAAATCCTCTGAAAACTGTAAGCAAATATTTACTTGCGGGTATTCTGGTGGGCAGATAAATGGAAAACAAACGATATTCTATTCGGGTCCTATATAGCTTCAATTACAAATGCTTTGGATACATTTTCATCACAGAATCATATGTTTGTTAAAGTTCTATTCCTGGAGAGCGAAGTGGACATATTTTCCAGAGAGATGATGTGTATTAACTTACTTTAGCTGGTGCAGTGCTGGGTCTCTGGACTGGTTTAGGTTCTTCCTTCTTTGGTTTAGGTGCTGCAGCTCCAGCCCCACCACGCGGCTCCCCATATATATTGAGGAGGACAGCCGCCTGACAACTCTCCTGGATCTATCATACATAAACCACAATATCAGCACCTTTACAGGTTGTCTCCCTTGTAACTGTGATATAGGTCAAAGCAGATGATACAAATTTGCTATTGTTACTAGTTATAAGTTGGTGTCTATTTCTATAATTAGATAGATGAATTTTAAGTAAAGAATAAAGACATGACATTTTAGACTATTCATAAAGAACAGGCAGCAGGCCAGATTGACTGGTTCAAACCCCCTTTTTCTGATACATCTCATGTAATTTTACAAAAGTTGGCCAATTATTAATATCTTTCTTAACACTTTCTATATATAACATGTCACCTTTCACACACTATTTGTAAATGTAATGCTTTACGATGAACACAATAAGATTTTGCCCTTGACATTGTTTACCATGTTTACCAAGAAGAATCTCTTGTTTCGTAAAGTTTATAAACACATATGTTTTCAAAAATATCCAATTTTCAAGCACGTTCCATAATCTTTCAACATGTTCACATTCACAACAAATATGTAAAACGGTTTCCTCTGTCTGTTTACAGAAAGTACAGAGGGAATTATCCAAAACATTGATTTTTGTTAAAAAAACTATTAGTTGCCAGTATCCTATGTCTAAGTTGAGTATGTTTGACCATTTGTCAATATATTTGGTTGTATAATTAATGTTTGAAATAAAAATGTCATACATATCTCTACAATTTGTTTTTATTTATTAATTCAAATGTAATAGGTATAAAAGGCTGAAAACATTGTTCTATAGTATTGCGAGTATAGGAAAGCCATAAAGGCATCACATCACAGCAGTTCTCAAACCATAAAACAATGTATAAGGTGGTGGTCGTAAATCATAGACCCTACAAAAATCTTCATAGGAGTAAAGAGAATTATTATCCTTTTCAACCATATCACAAAGGAATCTAATCTCTCTTTCAAGCCAAGTCTGATAACATATAGTAGAGTTATCTACCTTTATTTTTGTATTGAACCATAATGGCAGTCTAAGTAAGTCTGATGTTTTAACATCAAGTTTTAAGGTATATTCTGCAAATGTTCTAAAAACTTCAGACCAAAAAGGATTTTGGTATCTACAAGATAATTTTAAATAATAATTGTCACCAAACAACATTAACTTGTTGGTTGTGGTATTACATACATCCTATACTATTGATTTCCAACTAGCATCTGTGTTTACATTCTCTACATTCTCCGTATCCATATCAGTTTTAATGCTATATTAAAGGACAGTAAATGGGTCATTCTACACCCTTTTTTAAAATCTTGAATAATCTGGTTTCTAGCAATTCTATCTCTACTATTCCAAATGTATTTACAGAAAATGCTCTCTAGCTCTTCAAGAATTTATCCTCTGGTTAAGGTAGACTCATAAAAAGGTGAGTCAGTTTTGGGATCAGCAGGAATTTAACAACTGTTATTTTACCAAGAACAGTTAATCTTCTCTTGTACCAATGTTTGAGAATATTATTAATATCATTTAGTTTGGCTTCGAAGTTTATCTCTGCTATATCATCTAGATCAAGACTAAAAGTTACACCCAAACTGTGAAAGGTTCATTTGTCCACTCCAAATTCCACTCTCTGCAAAGTTTTACTTGAGAATTTTTTCTAGCCCCAATCCAAACTGCTTTTGTTTTATCAAAGTTTGGTGTTAACCCTGAATATTTTGAAAATTGGTCCAGAAGGTCAAGTGTCTTCTTAAGAGATCTTTTTCGGTACCGTTTAAGAAAATTCCAGTATCGTCGGCATACTGAAATAACCTATATTCTTTACTAAAGATTTTGATACCCTGGATGTCTTTATTAGTTCTTATAAGGATTCCTATAATCTCAACACATAGGATCAATAAATAGGGTGAGATTGGGTTGCCCTGTCGACAGCCACAGCCTATGTTGAAGAAGGAAGAAAAACTCTGCTTTGAAGTACACAAAGCTTTGCATCGTTACATAGAACTTTAACCCAATTAATATATTCAGGTCCAAACTTGAAAAAATGTAGGACTTTGTGTATAAACTGCCATGACACAGAGTCAAACGCCTTCTTGAAATCGATTAATAATAGGATTCCTGGAATATTATTCCTTTCCATATAATTTAAGATATTGTACTGTATAGTGGATATTTTCTCCTATATATCTGCCTGCTATAAATCCTTTTTGATTTTCATGTATCAATTTGTCAAGGACCAACTTCATCCTATTTGCTAAGCATTTAGATAAAATTTTGTAAGAAACATTCAAAAGTGATATGGGCCTCTAGTTCTTGAGGAGTTCCCTAGGCTTTTCCCCTTTTGGTAACATAGAGATAATGATCCTTGTTCATATCCGTTATTCAGGGACCTAATAAAAAAAACTCCCAAGTTTGACCAAAATAATTTGTAAAATTTGGCAGAGAACCCATCTGAGCCTGGGGATTTGTTTTTTTTTAATGATTTTACCGCTGATAAGGTTTCGGCATATGTAATAGTCCCTTCTAGCTTTGCGCTTTCAGCATCATTTAATTTTGGTGCAAGTAGATTTTCAGAGATCATATTCAGATTTACATCTGTTAAAAGATTATCCTCACTACTATAAAGATTCTTGTAAAATTGTTGTATTTGGCTTAAAATATCTTCTTGTTCTTTGCCTATTTCCCCAGAGTCTAATTTGATGTGTGTTACAGTTTTATTAACATAATTCCTTTTTTCTAGGCATAAAAAAATATTTTGTGGGTTTCTCTACCTCTTCAACCCATCCTGTTTTAGATCTAATAAGGGCTCCCTTCTATTTTTCCTAGATCTATTAGTCCGTTAAAATGGAAGTTACTGTCACAGTACCCAATCGGAGCAGTACCCAAATCAGGACACTTGAAGGAAAAAGTCAAAAAAATTGCATGTTGTGCAAAGAAGTATTTTCAAATTGAAAATATTGATTTAAAGATGCTTATATACCAATAAAACATTATATGAACTTTATTTACTGCCACTTATGGTTTACAATCACAGTTTTAGTTTGTGTAAATAATGACGAAAATGTAACGTTCTAAATTAATGCGCCATGTGACGTTATCGGTTTTCAATTTTTGTATGTGATTTTCCACAATCCTACTATTTCACAACTAATGCTAGTTTGGAAAAGAAATTCATCCAGAACGACCACTGACTCTTACATATTCCAAAGAGATGCCACGTTCTGCTAAATACTTTTTTCATCTCCAAATATAAGCCAAAACTGGTAGGGGTGGCCCGATTTGGGTACAGCTTCACCTATTTTGCGATTCCGTAACCATGACTATATTTCTGGTTCTATTTATAGAACCACTCCCCGGAAATATCAACTTGTTATCAAAATGAAAAAGACAATGATATCTATTTAGGAAAAGTGAACAAAGGGATCGGTACTACGGTATGAAATACATCAATATTTCACTAAAAAGTGTCCCGACTTGGGTACTGTAATGTTAGTGAAAAGCCCTTAAGACTTGCATTGTAGTTACTGATGTGGTAGCTTTCTTTTAAATGAGAAGTTGCTCAAATTTCACCAGGTTATATATTGATATTGTATTGTATAAGGTCATTGCAGCATTACATAAGGAGTATTTGGAGGACTCTATTTCAGCACTATATCAGCAGTATTTGGAGGACAGCACTACATCAGGAGTATTTGGAGGACTCTCTTTCAGCACTATATCAGCAGTATTTGGAGGACTCTCTTTCAGCACTATATCAGGAGGATTTAAAGGACTCTCTTTCAGCACTATATCAGGAGTATTTGGAGGACAGCTCTATATCAGGAGTATTTGGAGGACTCTCTTTCAGCACTACATCAGGAGTATTTGGAGGACAGCACTACATCAGGAGTATTTGGAGGACAGCACTACATCAGGAGTATTTGGAGGACAGCACTACATCAGGAGTATTTGGAGGACAGCACTACATCAGGAGTATTTGGAGGACAGCACTACATCAGGAGTATTTGGAGGACAGCACTACATCAGGAGTATTTGGAGGACAGCACTACATCAGGAGTATTTGGAGGACAGCACTACATCAGGAGTATTTGGAGGACAGCACTACATCAGGAGTATTTGGAGGACAGCACTACATCAGGAGTATTTGGAGGACAGCACTACATCAGGAGTATTTGGAGGACAGCACTACATCAGGAGTATTTGGAGGACAGCACTACATCAGGAGTATTTGGAGGACAGCACTATATCAGGAGTATTTGGAGGACAGCACTACATCAGGAGTATTTGGAGGACAGCACTACATCAGGAGTATTTGGAGGACTCTCTTTCAGCACTATATCAGGAGTATTTGGAGGACTCTCTTTCAGCACTATATCAGGAGTATTTGGAGGACAGCACTACATCAGGAGTATTTGGAGGACAGCACTATATCAGGAGTATTTGGAGGACAGCACTACATCAGGAGTATTTGGAGGACAGCACTACATCAGGAGTATTTGGAGGACAGCACTACATCAGGAGTATTTGGAGGACAGCACTACATCAGGAGTATTTGGAGGACAGCACTACATCAGGAGTATTTGGAGGACAGCACTACATCAGGAGTATTTGGAGGACAGCACTACATCAGGAGTATTTGGAGGACAGCACTACATCAGGAGTATTTGGAGGACAGCACTACATCAGGAGTATTTGGAGGACAGCACTACATCAGGAGTATCTGGAGGACTCTCTTCTAGTTTCTTCAAATAATTTCAATTAGGAATGAAGCCATCAATTGGCCCTTTAGAGTGACCTGATAAATCCAAAGTCATTAATGCAGATTTTCAATATTTTGACAATCCTCTCATGATGGTAGATGAAACATTAACCCTTTCACCATGTGTTGACCATAATGGACTCATTCATATCAATGCATCGTCGAGTCTACTAAAGTTACATAGGGACGAAAGGGTTAAACTAATCAGTTTTAAATTTCGGTCCTGTTCTCTTATAGATTCTAAGATGGTCAGCATTCCTCTTACCTTTTGCATTTTGATGGGATCAAAATCAACGAGGAAAGGTGCTATGTGTTTCTCTGACACAACCTTCATAGCCATCCCCAGGGCTTCATACGACCGCTCACGCACTTCTGGGGTAGTGTCATTCGCCGTCTGAATACAACAAACTCTTTATGACCAAAGGAATCTATTGCAATTTCATCCTAAACTTAATTTACTTAGAGGTTTCATTGAAAGCAATAATACCATAACTTGTAAGAACTCAAAAACTAGAAGCATTGATCATGCTTCTATTGAAGCACTTGGATTTCCAAGTCAGAAAATTACAAAATAAACTGATTCACTCCAATCTGAGCTCCCAAAATATTAACATTGAAATGAAATAGCCATATGTATTATGAAAGGAGCAACACCTTCAGCAGGCAAGTACAGAACTGCTTCAATAGTTTCTTTGGCAGGGTGCTGAGAGTTGACTTAGCAAAACATCTGGCAAGTAAATAGGCAGTCTCTGCTTTAATGGAGGGGTTCTTGTTATCTAGGGCTGCTGCCATATCTTCAGAAATAGCATCTAATGTTGTCTGTAAACAAGGAGGACATCATCATTTTAACACAGATAAGGAGTACATTTCAACTAAATTAGCATTGTACTTGAAACAAGACACTTTTCCTGATACCAAACTTCATGTTTTGAGATGAATAAAAAAAATGAGTCATGAAAAACATTTATTTTCAAATTCTATTTTGGTGTGATATCAACTCTGTCCGTTTCCTGTTACCTTTTAAAGCTAAAATTTCAACCTTCAAATACCAAAACCCCTGTTTATAGGTCATTTCCGTGCAGATTGGAGGACAGATATGGCTACTTACACTCATATAGGCTGCATCAGCCGCGTCACGAAGTTGTACTACCACCATCTGCTTCTTCTCCTTAAATTTCTCTAGGATAACTTGTATAGTCTGTGAAAACAAATATCATTGTTATTCGACATTTGAAACAAATACAGGTCACCAACCATGTCCTCCTAGCACCCCTCCCTCCTCCAAGTGGTCAATATTGTAACCTCTTAACCCTTATCCTTCACTGATGACCACCAAAATCAGACCATGTGTTGAACTCAATGTTACTATAATATGGTGTAAATATGAACTAATTATATTTTAAAGGCATTCATGAGATATCTTATACACATTTTTTTTATTTTACTTCAAGAGGTCAAGTTCGACCTTTTAACCTTTTTGTTCAATAATGACTTTTAAAATCTAATCAGGTGTAACTCGGTGTTACCATAGTATGGTTTAAATATAAACTAAATTGGTTGAAGGGTTCATGAGATATCTTGTACACAAGCTTTCAACTACTGACAGACACACGTGCACACTCATGAACAGAAGCTCCAAGCCACCACTTAAGTGGCGGTTATTAATGGAAACTACTGAACAAATTGTGAACTTCTGTTAAGTGTTTCTCTGAACCAGGACGTTTCTCTGAACCAGGACACTGTCTAGTGCTATTTCTTACTGCATTTAAAATGCATCTGATCATAAAGCTCAAATGATACTAGTCACTTTAGTAACATAACAACCAAGTTACAACAATGTTACCACGAAATACCATATATGACATTACCAACATTGTTGTTAGTAGGGATGTCACAGTTAACCGAAATAACGGTTAACCGCGGTTCAAAAGACCATGGTTCGGTGCATAATTTCCGTATTTCGGGTCGGTTCTGTATAAGTGGGTCGTAGTTGTTTGGGAGCAGCAAAGGCGTGTATTATTTGTGTCATATCTCGATCGATACACGCCCCTGACTCCATAGTCATGTAACCGCAATAATAAGTACGACGGTGTTCTTTAGGATTGTTTGAAATGGCAGCTTCTACTTGGATTTTCTCGTCGCAGGCAGTCTTGTGCACAAGACGGTAACTGAACACTGGATATATGTATAAGCACAAATTAAACACTTCTCGGGATTTACCTCTTCAATCAATGTCGGCCTATACATCTAATATAACTTTAAAATCAGCAGCTACGAATGAAACTGGATTCAACACGTGGGCCCAGTGCAGAAAACATTGAAAACATGAGGCCTTAATCTAATTAACATGAGATCCTTCGCATTGAAAAAGTTTTACACACGACTTTAACCCGATTTCGTAGCGGTATATACATGTATATTATGTACGATATGGGCGGACATTGATGAGTTAGATCCCGTAAAGTACACCAATTTAATATTGGTTTTTATTTTATTTATGATTCTAGTCAGATTGTCAAAACGTAAGGTGCATGAGCAACATGCATACATGCATAATAAACAAGAGGTTGGTTAGCACTAGCAACTTAGCTAAAATGGAGACTGAAATGTTTGTAAGTCATGATATAATAAAGGAAAGAACATGATTTTCCAGTAAGTACATAGATTGTACAATGGAGATATTTGCATGATATAATGAAGGAAATATATATTACATAGATGTTTCAACAAGTCAACTTAAGACGGGACAGTTGTGGACATTGAAATACCTAATACAAGTGACAGATTCTTCGTGCTAGTATCTTTATACTCAATACCCTCAGAAGAGGACTGGTAGACAATTGTATATTACTGTTTAACAGTTTAAGTGTGCACATAATGAAGTTTGTTTATGTATTCTACTTGTGATTGTGTATATAAAATACATAGATTACAAAGTTGCCTGAACCGAACCGAAATCCGACAACAAAAATGATAACCGAACCGAAAAATTCCTGAACCGTGACATCCCTAGTTGTTAGTACTATACTTACATTTGAAGCATAGGGGGCATACTTCTTGCGGAGACCTTTAGCGATTCCTGCCATACATTTGGCACCGAGGGAGACCAGCATTACATTTGAATCTTTACCAACCACCTGTCAATTGAAAGTGTTCTTTTCATTTTTTCAATCAGTACCACAAAGCATATTAAGAATAATGAATATTGTCAGTAATATGCATCATTTTGAGCACTATCTTTTCAAATGTACAGATTTAGCTATATACTAAAGGTACTGAAGAAACTTACTAGTTCAGATACATGGGTTCTCATACAAATGTTCAAAATAACAAGCATTATAGCAAAATGAAACAAGGCAATCCATAATCCTCCATCATTGATGATTTCTATATTTACAGTACATTTATGTCAGGAAGCATTTGCACTCCATCATCTCAAGATGTCTTTGTACACCAAATCTGAATACTCCAGGTGATATAGTATAGAAGATATGTCCCGGCCAAACCTTTTCAAAAGTATAGGTCAAAGGTCAAGTCATAGACCTGTCACAGTGATCTAATTCTTGCAATCTGCACTCCGCCATCCTAAGATATCCTTGTACACCAACTCTAGTTACTCTAGGTGAAATAGTATGGAAAATGTGCCCCGGACAAACTTTTTTAAAATTTAAGGTCAAAGGTCAATTCATAGGTCACAGTGACCTAATTCTTGCACTCTGTCATCCCCAGATGTCCTTGTAAACCAACTCTGGTTACTACAGGTGAAAAGTATAGAAAATGTGCCCAGGACAAACATTTTCAAAAGTTTAGGTCAAAGGTCAAGTCATAGGTCACAGTGACCTAGTTCTTGCACTGTGCTCTCCCCCATCCTAAGATGGCCTTGTACACCAAATCTGGTAACACCAGGTGAACTAGTATAGAAGATATGTCCTGGATAATTTTTTTCAAAAGTTGAGGTCAAAGGTCAAAGCAAAGGTCAAAGCATAGGTCACAGTGAGGTCATAGTGACCTTTTTCTTGCACTATGCCATTCCAAGATGTCCTTGTAAACCAAATCTGGTTACTCAAGTTAAGCTATTGAAATGTGATGTGGAAATTGTCTGTAAGTGGTTAGTCTCCGTTTAACACAGTTAACATTACCAACTTACCTGTAGTGCTGATTAGATGACTTATTTATATAGAGCTGAATACCTAACAGACTTGCTGGTATAGAACTGAGTAGTGACTACATTAGAGATTTGGATAGAACCGACTACATTATAGACTTACTCGTAAGAACAGACTGGACTTGTACAGTATTGACCTACCTTGATCAAAGTCTTCACCAAATACCCATAATCTCCATTACTTAAGCGAGGATTTTCTGTGAGCTTCTGGAGAGCTTCAAGAACTTCTCTTCTGTCCTGCCACTTTTTGGCTTCCTGCAGAAAGATTTAAACAATTTGATAATGTACTGTTAACAATCATTTTTACACATGTTAGAGGTAATGTGAAGTACAAACCTCATAGGCTTTTTGAACCAAAAATGTAGCTATACAATGATGCATACATTGAATTTTACTGTCAAACAATGACAATCCCATAATGTTTTGAGACAAAAGTTCAATAAAATAGGACAAAAATAAACCGAAACAGTCGAAATCATAAATCACAAATCTAAATAGTAAGGAGGGAAGGAATGAGCATAACATTCAAACTCTCTAAGTTTGGTGCAGTGATGCTGGGGTTTGAATGAAGACAAGACAAACATTTCCCCTTAATGCTGGGATTGGGAGTAAAATGTGAACCTTCCTTTCAAATACCTCTTAGCTTACTTCCTTTTGAACAATGGTTAACCACTTGTTAAATTAGCTCCTAACCATGGGAAGAATCTTACCACTTTTTGTGATTGAAATCTGTCATACTACTCAGGTGGAAATGTCATTTACATTAATTGTAGACAGATGACAGATTGATGCTTCAGTAAACCATACATTCACATTGGTCCTGCGGGCCAGGTGAGTTATAAAATATACTATTTTCTCATAGTAGTCTTTTGGTTGAAGAGGAACTTACCACTTTGTCATAGTAATCTTTGGGTAGTTGAGATAATATGTCAACTTCTGGCATCATTTCGTAGGCATCAACAGCATCTTCTCCTTCATCTCCATCTACACAAATATCGTTGATTTCATTTTAGTGCATAAGATACAGGCAAGGAATATTTCTATCTACATAACTCTTTTCAGATCTGGATTATCTTTATGATTTGTAAAAGCTTTCAAAGAATTTCCAATACAAGTACATGTACTACCATTGCATATTGTCAATAAACCACAACAAAATAGTCAAGCAATGTTATTTACAAAATAATAAAATCCTAATTTACTACAATACTCTAATATACAGAGTATCGTAGTAAATGGAGATTGGATTTAAGTTAATTAAAATAGAACATACACATGCATCTTGTTGTATCAATTTCCCCCCACCATTACACCCATAGAGTTCATCACACAGAGATTCACAGGACAATACAAAAGCACCAAGATATATCTGTTAATCAATTACCGTCTTCTTCACCATCACCCCCACCCGCAGCAGCCTGCTCTTCCATCTTTGCTTTGAGATCCTGCTGGGATCTCATGAACCTTTGCTGATGAGGTTTCTCTTTTGGCTGCCTCTCAAACTCTGCTTCCAACTCTGTCACCTATCAAAAGAAGTCAAACGACGTCAAAAACTAAGTTTCTGCAAATAGATATAACTTCCCAATCCCCCATGTACAGAAAATTTGCTTAATACTTATTTTGGAACAACCCTCCCAACATAACATGTACCTGTACAGGTTTAAAGTTGTTCATCATAGGTTTGAGTGCTGGGCCTATCCAGCGATGTATCTCTATCACCAACAATTTTGTTTCCTCTCGAACATTTTTGTCTCGGTCTTCCAGAAGTTTGGGCAAAAACTTCATCAGTGGTTTGATGGGCATCACCTTATTGCTGAAGTCCCTGGAAATATAGAAATATATCCCTAGTACTGTAGTCCCTGGAAATATAGAAATATACCCCTAGTACTGAAGTCCCTGGAGAAGTCCCTGGAAACATAGAAATATATCCCTAGAACTGAAGTCCCTGGAAATATAGAGATATACCCCTAGTACTGAAGTCCCTGGAAATATAGAAATATGTCCCTAGTACTGAAGTCCCTGGAAATATAGAGATATATCCCTAGTACTGAAGTCCCTGGAAACATAGAGATATATCCCTAGTACTGAAGTCCCTGGAAACATAGAGATATTTCCGTAGTACTAAAGTCCCTGGAAATATAGAAATATGTCCCTAGTACTGAAGTCCCTGGAAATATAGAAATATACCCCTAGCACTGAAGTCCCTGGAGAAGTCCCTGGAAACATAGAAATATATCCCCAGAACTGAAGTCCCTGGAAATATAGAAATATACCCCTAGTACTGAAGTCCCTGGAAATATAGAGATATTTACGTAGTACTGAAGTCCCTGGAAATATAGAAATATGTCCCTAGTACTGAAGTCCCTGGAAATATAGAAATATGTCCCCAGAACTGAAGTCCCTGGAAATAAAGAAATATGTCCCTAGTACTGAAGTCCCTGGAAATATAGAAATATAACCCTAGTACTGAAGTCCCTGTAAATATAGAAATATGTCCCTAGTACTGAAGTCCCTGGAAATATAGAAATATGTCCCTAGTACTGAAGTCCCTGGAAATACAGAAATATGTCCCTAGTACTGAAGTCCCTGGAGAAGTCCCTGAAAACATAGAAATATATCCCTAGAACTGAAGTCCCTGGAAACATAGAGATATATCCCTAGTACTGAAGTCCCTGGAAATATAGAAATATGTCCCTAGTACTGAAGTCCCTGGAAACATAGAGATATACCCCTAGTACTGAAGTCCCTGGAAATATAGAAATACACCCCTAGTACTGAAGTCCCTGGAAATATAGAAATATATCCCTAGTACTGAATTCCCTGGAAATATAGAAATATACCCCTAGTACTGAATTCCTTGAAAACATAGAGATAAACAAGGAGTCCCTAGAAACATAAAAATACCCAGTATATCCAAGTACTAAAGTAGACAGACATATTACTCTATTATTTAGAGTTCTTAAATAACAATTTAAGTCACTAGAAACATAGATATCTTCATTGTATTGATGAATTACCTTGAAGCACACACATATATATATCCTCCTTACCCCAAGATCTAGAAACATTAAACATTTATTTCTGAATGCTTATTTTATTACCAAAGTTCTTTAAAACAAATATGTCATCATTATTATACAGCTTGAAGTCACTGGTAAAAAAGAAATATACACATTATTATTACTGATTTTTTTTATAACATGTATTCATATTTTTGCTGAATTTCATAGAAACACAGAAATGCAAAAAAAAACTTACATTGTATTTACTTTGTGAACAGGAGAAAGATAGTGACTTGGAATGGCTGCCAGTCACCCTCTGCACATACCTTCTTACATATAAACCTACCTGAGGGCCATAGTGAGACACTGTATACAACCAACCACTATCTTGGGCTGTTTGTTCTCCAGTCCTTGTATTAAGCATTCCTATAAAACAATGGAATTTTTTTTTAAATTAAAACATAATACAGCAGATTAAGAGCTTCTGTACATGTGCTTTCTTCTATTAGTATCATGTAAGAGTCTTTCCACTTGCCCATATGACTACTATGATAAGAATTAAAAGGTCTTTTGACTTTAATGTAAATTACTTTTCTAGCCTATGACCTACAATAGGCTACAAACACAGACAATGTGTGATTTTTGGCCTACGTACCTGGACAACATCTTGTTTCTCAATCTCTATGTACAACATGATGATTTCTATGCCCTTTTCCCTAGTCTTCTGTTTGCTGGCATTGAGACACTTGGCAACTACTGCTGACACAACCTCCCCAGCCGTTCTGTAAGAAGAGTTATACATATCATTCATTGTTTCTACTTCCTAGACCAGCCATCATTTGAAAAATGAAGTAAACCATGTTTACAACAAATCCTAAGGGTCTGCAAAAATAATTATTTTCTATTTTCCATACCAGACTTTGTTTTTAAGCAAGATTTATTTTCTTAAAGGGGCTATTGAGTCAAATGACAACCTACTCAAAATATACATCTCCTAACGAAATTCTACGTAGTTGATAATGACATGACCTGAAGCCAATGTCCAGTGTGGTCAGTTTCATCTTTTGGCAAAAGCTGTGATAAAAATAGCTATGCCCAAAATATCGCAATATCCGGGCCTTTCAGTCAGAAGCAAACACGTATAGCACTACGCTGTCGATCGTCAACACAGTGTCAGTTATGAGTCAGAGTTCACACATAGCACATTGTTGAATTTACAGTATATCACAAGTAAGAATTATAAGTATCATAATATATACCTCTAATCAGATATTTCTGTTCACATTTGGATTTGAATAAAAACAGGTTCAATAAGAGCATGCACGCACTGAGAGGGTGCCGCATGGATATTTCAAACCGCAGAAAGGACGATAATCATATCAATAGGTTTAAACGTAAAAGAGATCACTCGTTTTTAACAATGTTTGAGATGCTGTTGGAAGATGATTTTGATTCAGAATAAATGCATGTACTTGTATTCCAGAAAAGCTAGGTGAATAAAGCGAGAAGTTACCTTCTCTCCTAGGCTGGAAAGACAATCCGCACAGAAACTTTTACAATACATGACGTGAATATTTTGTAAGCTACAAATTTACCGACAGCTGCCACTAAAACGTATGGCTGTACAGTAAGGATTTCTCCATTACTGATTAAAAACCAAGAAAACATAGTCTCTTGACAATTTTTCGACACGAATTGTTCATAAGGAGTATCAAACTATATAATCATGAAGAATTTTGGGGCAAGTTCTTAAAACAAATTACTTCACTAAATTGTCCCTTTAACAATTGAGAATTTATCTGGACAGATTAGGAAAAGTCATGTTTTCAACTGGGAATGGTTCTATTATGTAACAGACCGAAAAGATCAGGTGATAATGCGCTGGTACATGTATATCAATACAGACGTTAATACAGACTTATTGAAGTAACAAATATAATGCTGTACTTGTGTTGATTTTTTCCAACAGGATTTTATTGGTATTTTTTTTTAAATATTCTAAAAATCGTACAACTTCAAATATTACACCTAAATCATAATCTGATATGGGGAAAACTACTTCAAAAATAGTTCACAACGGCCGCCATGCAGCCGAGTCATTGAAACCCCCAAAACCAAGATGAGACAAAAAAAAATCATTTGTTTGGTTTAAAAGATATTCATTTTGAGAAATTAATTTGTTATCGTCTAATTAAGAATAAATTAATGATGGGACTTTTGAGTCTTGATTAATTTTATTTTCTGGTATCATGACATGACACGAGAAAGTAAATATATGGTTTTAGACTTTCGAAACTCTCTTTACTGTAAATACTGAATGCATTATCTAGGTCATACCCTGAAAGGTTACAGCCACATTAAAAAGTAATACACATATTTCCCCTTTTGTACATGAACAGTTGAATTATATTTAACACTGCTATAAACATACCTATAACAAGTGTTCTATTAGATAGGATAGTAGATACCTGTAGATTTTAATACTAAATACCACAATTTCAGAGGTAATCATCATATGTCATTATATATCCAGACATTTAAATGTCTTTTATGGCTAATCACCACCAATCTCTGTTACCTGTACATAGCATAACAAACTTTTAATTATGTGTGTAGAATTTCAGAACCTTTAAACTTGTTGTTACTTGCCAGTCATGGTATGCTAAATTATATATGTATGGTTAGTAACCAATAATATCAATACCCATCTGTGAATAATTAGATCTATGGTTTAATCAACAATGTTGTGTGGGGCCTGTCCTGTATGTTACCCGAGTTTTTTGCTACCTACATTAGGAATGGTTAAATTTTAATATTCTCATCTAGCTATGAATTGGCAAATTTTATTTATAATTATTAATCATAGGCCCCAACAATAATCTAAACAAAAATTGATACATATATAGAAACAGTCATTAGCACAATAATAATCACATATTAACAGGTTAATCTTATTTAAATAACGCTGTAGTTTATAACATGATGTAACATGTGCTTAATTATCTAGCAAGATAATGGAGTAAAACAACCCTGATTGTAAGTCAATAGGCATGACTTATAGTTATATACTCAAATTCCAAAGTGTCATGTTTGATTATTTACACTAAGTTAAATGTCTTTTGTGTAGAGAAATGTCAGTAACAGGCGCACACATGGCACCGAGAAAAAATCCTTGGTTACCAACAACTAAAGAAAGGTATATTGGCCACCTTTCTGAAGTTGTTTATATGATCTTTAGTTGTGTAAAGTTGTAAACTATGACAAAAATTTAAGGTCAACAACTTCCACTTTTTACTACAATGAAAGTTATTTTGTTGCTGATATGTTTGTGCACTGTTGCTTAATTGAACTAAAACATTGACAGGTCAGTAAGGTCCCCGCCATGTGCTTGACAGTACCCCAAACTCCCACAGTCTATTTTTAATAACAGTAGTCTAACTAGTCTTGACATTAAAATCTTTGTTAAAACCCCTTCTGCATGTCTACATATATCACAGTGTATCAACATGCCTTATTTAATAAGGATTACTCTTTTGGATTCATAGATAAGGACTGTACACTCATGGTTTATTTTTAGTAACAGTGACATTGACCTCAGAAACTATTTTAAAAAATCCTATCGCACATACACATTTCGGAAAGACAAGTCTTTTGGGTTTCTAGATAATTAACAAGAGGGCAGACACATGGGCCTTGACAATCATCCGAGTTGTAATATATATAGTTAGCTTTTTGTTGCAAAACAATGTGGAATAAAGCAAGCTAGCTAATTAATATAAATTTCCCATGGTAAAAATCAAGTTATCTTTCATTCAAGATCACTTGTCTGTATAATTACCAATTTCTTTATAACTACACAACTCTGATAAAAAAATAATTATAAGTAACGCTTCTATAAAAGACCAATTGTGTATTAAGACCAGTTATTTCCTCCCTTCACATGTCTTAATATACAGATTTTAGGACAAACTTTAAAATCAATACTACCGACTGGTTTCCAAAGAGTATCTAATAATTTTTCATTGATACATATTCTTTGTCAATAAGGGTAGTCACCAGGTTATAAATTATGTCAACTTGTATATATTTATATATATATTTATACACAAATATTTGAACGGGACACGTCAAATATAATATATATATACATTAAAAATAGACTGTATATAACACATACTTATTAGCAACGGCAGCATTTTCAATAAAAACCAGGACTGCATCCAATGCTTTCTCTTGAGCTACTGCATTGCTATCTATCACAAACTTTTTCATCAAGCCAGCATATTTTGAAAATTCAGAACTCTTTTCATCTGTGATACTTCTGAAGAGCTTGGTCACCTCTTCATAGCCGGTCAATCTTGCTCTCCAAACCTAAATAAAAAGAATGAATGTCAACCTTTTCGTCAGACTAAATGCATTTGTTTTATTCATGAATTTCAACATTCTTAAAAACATTTGAGATTATGCTTTTCACCTCCATAATATTGTTAAGCTAACTATACTTAGAGTAACTATTTTGTTAAGCCCCCCTCCCCCAAAGTGTTTCCCGTTTCCCTACAGATTCTAGATTTTTGTGCCTACCCTGAAGATTTTATTGGCATTTAGTGACAAGCAGTGTTAAAGTCAGAACTCCTGCTCTATATTTTCAGACAGAAACAGGAAACATACATATTTTATTTTTGATCTTATCCCATTGCCTTGAAACTTAAAAGCTTGTATTGAAATTGAATGCAATGAAAATTACATTCGTTTAAGGTCAAAGTTTGAAAGAACAATAATTCTACAATTGACTCACCTTATGAGTGCATTTCTCCTCTGTTGGGAGTTTCATCCATTCTGAATCATCTCCCATTTTTCTGCTTATTTTTGCTTTTATTTACAGCAATTTCAAAGTCATGTGATTGGACATCTGAAATAGATAAAAAAAAAAAACACTTGCTAATCAATTACACAGGTATTTTTAATTCTATCAAATGACCAACTGGTAATTTTTTGTCTTTTCATTATCAAAAGTGACGGGGGGAAATATGGAAGAAAATGCAAGTTATCTTCCTTAAAATGATAAAATTACAATTCAAATCAATATGAATTAATTTATTTTCATATGGTATTTTTTTAATTTATTTTTTGTATCAAGATTCCAATATTTATGTATGCCAAACTTAAATTCATAAATACAATAAATTATCAACAACAAAAATTAATTTTTAAGTGACAGGTAGTAGTAATTTTTGCTTTTGGTTTAAAATTCAATAATAGTAAAATAAAAGAACATCACTGACTGGAACAGTGGCCACTTTCCTAGTTCAAACAGTTTCTCGCAATTCATTATTCACAACCCTGGGTTACAAGCCATAAAAAGTTATTATTCTATTGAACTTATAATTAATTGCTTTTGTTCGATTTCTCGAACATAATATACTGTTCAAAGTTGCATCAATGTAGTGTTCACATTAATTTAAATTCACTACCAAAAGCTGCTGATATTTACATGTGTTCAGCAAAGCACAAAGATTCAAATCACCAAAACAAGACCCCCCTCCCACAATGGTGTCATATATATATATAGTAGATAATAAATAAATAAGTCCTTGCGAAGGAAAATATAGAATAAAAACATACCCTTTCTGCGTTCTAGGGCTTCTTCAGGCGGATTGATGTTTTTCATCAATCCGCCTGAAGAAGCCCTAGAAGGCAGAAAGGCCTAGCGGACGATCTGGAAAATTTATGTTTTTGTTCTATATATATATATATATGAGGCAGGTCCAAATCAGATCAGAACGAGTACTGAACCGATTTTGGTCCTGCCTCATATATATATATATATACTTTTTGAAAATTAGTTTTAAATCAATAAATGTGTCCACAGATCAGTTATAACAATGAAGTAACTTCAGAATAGATAGTCATACATCATTTTATGTCTACTTAGTTCTTAAGTTTAAATAGCACTAGAAAACGTAATTCAAACTCAAATGTCAACTATACATTCTGTTTTGGACTATAGAAATAAATTCACCCTATATAAATACTTGTTTTCGTATTTATTCCAAAGGTCATCTTAAAATGTTAATATGCTGACAAAAAAATGTTCATTTGAAGCGTAAGATATGGCAAAAATCAGATTTGGGTCCTGACATTCGCAAAAACCGGAACCGCTGATAGGTGACTTCAGAGCTATCTAAAAATATTTCATGTGAGCCCCGGTGCAACTTTTTTTTTTAAGAACACGCCCATCGATATTCTTCCTTTGATACAACCATAAATGAATTTAATTCATCCTCAAAATTTTCAATGAATGAATAAAATGATTAATTGGTGATCCGATTTGGGTACTGTCACCTTAACTTGTGTTATAACTTATATATTAACTTGTGTAATTAAGTGCGATATACTATATTCCATGCAAGTATTTAGATCAGTGTAGGCCCTGTTTACATGTTTTTATTTGTGTACTTCTCGAAATGCTGTAGGTATATAGTGTATTTTTAGGGGAAATTCTCTGCTATGCACATGATAAATGTAAGGTTGCTAACAGTAGTAACCTGTCGATTACTTCAATAATTGTATGCATATTATTACAGAATCATGATCATGAGTCATCATGTTTCAAATGTCAGCACAGTAGTCTACAGTAGTATTAAATTATTAATACAAATAAACTAGTAAACACGCAGATGTTCCTTGCTCAATAACGCAGCTAATCACTTATATTTGATATGTTGGTGCAAAGATGAATGGGTCTGTGTTGCACCGAATGATAAATGTTGCAGGCAACATCTCAAACATTCTATCAAATGTGTCTCGTCCAATGACAGTTCGTCGATTTCATATCTTACACAACGGAAATGATTTAGATATACGCACGAATACAGTTTCTCAAAATAATAAACTTCTTCAGCTGATCTGGTCATGAATCAGTGCCATACTGCTTTAATTTATCAAAGAACGAAATGAATGAAAATGTAAGCATGTAGGACCTTCTTTCTAGAACTGTCAAATAATGTACCAGTAAATTGAAATATTATCAAACTCGTTTATATATCACTTAATGTAAGGTTTGTGAAATAAGAAATGGTTGCATATTGTCACTCACATGTAAAAGTATTGTCACTTGTCCTTCTTAGAATGATATTACCCTCAGAGGGTTATCTTCAGCAGTCACAAAATTTGAAAATCGGCTGTCAGGGATTGGATACACTTTACTTCCGGTAGCGCCATCTATCGGCGAGCACTTCGGGCACTGCCAAAACATTATTTGCTTATCTTTTGTTAGTATAAAATACATCAGTGCATTAAAATAATATATTTTGATATCATAAACCGTTTTGTTCAGTTTAGCACGTCATCTGTTATTTGTAAATATTTTTTTGTAAATAAAAATGCGTGACTGTAATTCAATATGTCTGCCCACATGAACGATGTTATTGCACGTGTGAGACTGTGAAGAAAATGAAACAACTCGGATTTGAGGAAGCTATTCGCATTATAGATGAAGACAAATATGCTCAATTTGAAAAAGTGACAACGACTAAACATATTGTACTATCTCCGAAGTATTTAGGGCGTGTTAAAACTGGAATAGTGGAACAGCTTAATTCCGAGTTGAATTTTGCTTCAGAGAGGTAACCCACTATACTAAAGCTTTTTGTATGTCAAGTAATCAACTGTCATACGTATCGTATTTTTGCAGTAGTCCTTCTTCCACAAATACATGCGAAATGACGAAACAGACGTGGGAAATTCTTCTGACTTTCCGACAGGTTGCACCTCACCTGTACTTTGATCAGGTTGTGCCCAACGGCTCATATCAGGTTGGGGAAAACCACCAACTTGCGTATATACGCAAACTCGCCTGTTATACGCCAGACGGAGCGATTTGGAAGTTTATATTTGTTAAGGACTGAGCCTTATTGCGTATCATGTAAATTGACATCATCTCAGCCGATACCCGTCATCTTTCTTAAACAACATTAATCAGTTTCTTCAAGTTACCGAAAACTAACTTATCACAACTAAGAAAAGCCATGTATTTCAATGTTAATCATTGTTATACACACACATTTGGAGCTGTTCGTATCAGTACAGCTTGTGTAACATAAACATACAAATTTTACATTTAAACATTTAGATTACTTGTAAATTAGTTAAATGTGTGAAGGTGGCGAAACTGCCTGCACCTTTGTGCAAAACCACGGAAGGCCTGATGACGTCACAAATGTTGCTTCGTGACGTCATTCAGGCGTGTTAACAACAATGTTTATTCATAGGCATTTCAGTCAAATCTTCTGTATTGGTACTCGTCGGCATTTTGATACATGCCTATTTGGTCGAATTATTAACAGAAACCCTTACTAATGTGACGAATTAGCCTTCACTGACGTTTACCTAGTTGAGTAGCAATTTTATTACTGAAATGAAGAATAAAGTGAAAGGAAAGCACCCAAAGTTCTTCTTCTTGTGCCAAACCTGTTGATTTCTTTAGCCCTGACACCAGACTTCAGACATTTTGACAATTAGATGTCTGGTGTGGGACATATAACCCTGTTTCCCAGCCAGTCGGTATACTGGTAAATTCTTTGTAGCACAAAGCTAGAAGGAGACTCTAATCCTATGCACTTGTAACCCAGTCCAGTTCCGCTATATACAACTACACCTGTGTGCAATCAAGTGTGAGCGTCGGACCATTCAGTCTTCCAAGAGTTTCTGTCCAATCCCCAGCAGTTGCAGAAAGAGGGAGTAATGACTGATATAATTAGTTTTCCCCTGATGGCCCAGTGGTGTTTCCCCATGGGCTTTCTTTCACCATGAAAATATTCCATTTCCTTAGCAGCATGGAAATAAAGGCTCTTCAGAGCCTGTTTGTTGTTTTCAATGTACATGACATTAAATGAAGATTATTTATTATTTTGTTTTATTTATTACCCTTTTACAATGTATTTGCCCTCCAAGATCACATCAACCCAGCTGGTTCTAACTATGTTACCACAGGGAGAGCAAGGGTACTATTTGTAACACTTTTTTGTGAGACATTCAATTTGGGCTTAAAGTCAAGAATATATCTTGTATTCTGATCCCTTCATATTGCAAGGCTTTTTAGCCCACCATCTGATGGTGGGCTATTCAAATCACCCTGCGTCCGTGGTCCGTCCGTGGTCCGCCGTCCGTCCGTAAACAATTCTTGTTATCGGTATTTCTCAAGAAGTACCAGAGGGATCTTTCTCAAATTTTATATGTAGGTTCCCCTTGGTCCTGAGCTGTGCAGGGCAACTTTTGAGACTGATCGGATAAACAACATGGCCGACAGGCAGCCATCTTGGATTTTGATATTGAAAGTTTGTTATCGCTATTTCTCAAGAAGTA